GGAACCTTCAATAGGACCCTGTGCTCTGAGATCGTCATTATTTTAACTTCCTGTGAAAAGGAATGGCTCTCTTTGCCTAATTATAATATACATGGATGGATTACTGGGAACAAGCCGAGGGTTACTGGGGCAGAGCCTCTGTATGAAGTGACTGTTAATAATTCTCGTTTGAAAGTCATAGCTCAGTTAAAAGAAACAAAATGAACACAAATGAACGCAAAACAATCTCAAAGAAAAGCAAACTGACCGTAATGAGGTGCAAAACAACCACAACGGGACACAAAATGACCACAAAGAGATGAAAAATGTCAGTAAAGAGGTGCAGGCTTTTACTTGTCTGTGCTAAGGGGCCCATTGTATATTCAGAAAAGAATGGCTTCCCAGCATAACCCCTGTTTGATCTGCTGAAATAATGTTGGGCATAGTTTGTTTTGGATAGAATTTTGTAGTCTTCAATTGAAAGCGAGATGGATCTTGGGGATCAGTTGAAGTTCTGGTTGGCCTATGGTTAGGAGATCAAATTCTACCTGAAGCAGACATCTCAGTTTATATATTTATATCTGCTTGATTTAGCTGCATATTTCTTGCCCATGTCATTGAGACTTTTTAACACTTCTGATATCCTTGACATTTCTTGACATTTCTTGACAGTTCTTGATTTGCCATATTTTCTCTTTCCAGATTATTCAATTTGAACAGTTTTTAGATGCTTGAGACTGGATCTCACTGGTTTTAATGAAAGAGCTAGAGTAAATGTAGTCTTTCCTCTTTACACACCTGTTAATCACCTCTTGACCCCTAAGGTTTATCTTGCAACTCTTGGAGGGGTCCCGACCTTTAGGTTGGAACCCACTGGTTTAAAGCACACTGACTGCTTTCTTTAACAAGGGTTTGCCACCATGAACATTACCTGACTGATGTACAGCTGGTTAACCAGCACTGAGCTCAGAAGTTCTTTGTGTACAAAGGACACTCCTGTTAAATAGATATTTAATTTTAGTGAGGCACTTTTTTTAACACTGCATGTTAATGTAATGAGAATGTTCATCAATTTGACAAGTGAGCCAGATTCAACCACTAGGAGGAGACAAAAAGCCACATACACACCAACATGGTCTTTGCACTTGCCTCACAGATCTAATAGTAATTTTGAAGCATGCAGTTGTCATTTACAACTTTAAATGGTACCACTGCAGCTGTCCTTTTTTGTATTTTATCAACTGCTTGTATTTAACTGTTCACACCAACAATAAACTGAGTAATATAAGAAGAGACCATAATAGTGAAAACAGATCTTTCATCAAAGTCACATTTATCTACCATGACCACATGGGGAAACATTTCATCATAGAAAGAGACTGTAGCGACGGTATCACTGCTACACAACTGCACTTAGTGCACAAAACAACATACAAGCAGGATTAGGATAAAAAATGCGAAGGCGCAGTGTCTAGAGTCCAGTAAACGATGTTCTGTAAAATGAAACAACATAACTTCTTCTTCTAGGCGTTATCTTCATTTTAAATCACCATAGTTATTCTATGGAAAAGTGCATATTTTAGAGATTTATGAAGTGAAAAGAAGTAAACACAACCCCTGCAGCAAATATTACAAATGTGCCTTTCTTCATGTGTTCGTGAACAGTTACTTCCTTCATAAACTGAGATAATAGCATGTGCAAAACTACTGTCAATACTTTGTAACCTTCCCTTTGGAAGGTTTGGATATATGATGGATTTTACGATCATAATTATACATTCAATGTAAGCATAAATAAATAACTAGTACAAACAATAATAACAATTGTCAGACAGTAGAATACAGATAAGAGATAGCCAGCATACAATCAAATGTAAATACATCAGAACAAATATAAATAAAAATGTACCATAATTAAAATATATGCTGTGCATGCATACACAGTGTGTTTACTGTTACTGTACTGTTAAGTGAACATGATGGACTAGATACAAGAGAAGTTCATAGTCATTATCTGTTGTTAATATGGTCCCAGAATGGGCTCCATGTTGTTAACAACAGGTTTCAGTTCAGATATGATCTCAATCCAGTGCTCAAATAATGAGGATGTGACCTCCATGACGTTATTTCCATTGTCTCACAATGATTCTGCCACTTGTGTTTTTCTTTTTTTCCCGCCAGGTATAAACCCCCCACCATACTGGCACCATTGTTGTTCTTCAATATTTTCCCCAATATCTTTCTTCCACATCAATTTAAGACTGTCAAGTTCAAGTGCATTGGCAAGAAGTCAAAACAGGAGGACTTTTTACATAACTGAGCCTGTTACCAGCTTTCCATTAAAAACTTGGAAGAGAAGTAGATTAGACCTACGTCATCAACTCTCCAGGTCCTCCATATGCTCCACCAGGGAGGCATTTTGGTTTTGCAGCTTTAACTGTGGTCTCCGCCGCTGCAAGCCATTCAACATTTTTCCCAGCACCAATGTTACATGGAGCCTGAATATACTGATGCATCCACTGAGGACTGCAGGGGTTTGATAGACTTTTGAATCAGTGTTATCATGTCATTTGCTTGGTGTTTGGCCATTTCTGTCATTAGCAGCTTGGAGTTACTCCTATCGTTATCAACAAAACTCACTTTGTAGTTGTCTAAGCATGCATGAGGGGGTTTATCATAAGGAATTTACAGTTAGTTGCATCAAACCTTCTCCAAAGAGCTCAGTTTTAACTTAATCTGTCTGCAGCACTTTTTTTTCCAAAACAACTCTTATCCAGATGTTGCTTTGCAGACTTCAGATGATGACTTGTCTGATGAGGTCTCCTCGGGTTTCCTACGTCTTCGTACACCCTGTTTTTTCAAGCAACGCTGCACAGTGGAAAGGTGCACCATCACTCCTGTGTCCGCTAAACCTTCCTGCAGGTCCTTTACAGTCATGTGGGGGTTTTCCTTTGCCTTTCTGCCCAGAACATGTGCAGTTTTGTCTGAAATTTTTCTTGGTCTTCCAGATCTTGGCTTGACTTCCACAGTTCCCCTTAATTTCCATTTCTTAATGACATTCCGGATAGTGGAAACCGAGAACCCAAAGTGGTTTGATATCTTTTTATAGCCTTTCCCTGATTTGTAGGCATTAATCAGCTTCATTTTCAGATCCTCACTCAGTTCAATAGAGGAGCCCATGGTTGTTGAGTGTTAACACAAGTTTTGCTTGGCTGGGTCAATCTGCAAAAAAGAATCAAAACATTTAATCAGTGAAAACAATTTATCCTGAGTCTGTCTTCCAACCACCAGACACCCTGATGGTGAAATTTTGGGATCTGGCTCTCACCTCGCTGTGTGTGTGAAAGTGTTAAAATCCAAAAACAATTATTAACTCTTACAGGCACTTTAAGTTGTGTAACTTAACCAAACTGCAACAGTGAGTCTTCAAACTCTAGAAATAGCAAGAAACAGCTCCCCGGTGGCCTCTTCGGTATTCTTCGGCATAAAGGCAGTTCGGCTTGTACATAAAGTGCTGACGGTTCTTTTGTTTCTCACAGTTACGATCATGGATGTATTATTAGAACTTAACAATTAATTAATAAGTTATTACTACTATATTTAATAATATTATAATGCTTATTAAGAAATAACTTAATTATTAGGTCTTATAATACATCCAATAGTTACGATGAAACCACGCCCACTTCCTTATGACGAAAGCCTCGACAGAACAAACGAAGCCCTTAACCAATACGAAAGTGGCCGTGGTTTAACAGAAACTGGTTGGTTGGAACAAAAATACAGGCGCTGAGGGATAGTGTCAGTTACAGCCGAGTCTCAGGGCTGAAAAACGGGCACAGCTTCTACAATCTAGGTGTGGACGTACCGTTACCAGTCGGAGGTCGAACCGTTTGTTTCAACCTGCTGCGTGATTTCAGTTGAAACACTATGGCTTGAACGTGGCGTTAGCATCTACACACAGGGAGGTGTGTGTGTGTGTGTGTGTGTATAGATGCTAACACTGCTAATCCCGAGCTCATCAAAATATTGTTTTACAGGAGCGAACGGGAGGAGTTTGATACGAGAATACTTAAAATTATATGTTATCATATGAGAGGGAACAAATGAACGGTTAACACAGGGACTGAAGGTGGAAATTTCACTGTCTTTAGCTTTGCCAGCTCTCGCCCTTCCCTCACAGCTCAGTTAATAACCACTTACCAACAGTGGACAGATGATAAAAGCTGCTTTCCTCTCGAGTTTAACTGTTCAGTTCTGTAATTCACGTTTTAACGGGGATGATGTTCTGGTTTTCTTGTAGCCTACAGCTCGCTCCCTTGTTTTTTTTTTTTGTTTTTTTAATACGATTGGCGAACAAAGAACGGGTGCATTACCACCACCAACTGGTATGGAGTGTGGACCCAGGCTGATTTAATAATAATATGATAATAAATAAACTAATAATGAAATTTGCTTAAGATTAATAAAATGTATCTTCTAATTTATTTCCTTTAATTAAGTATATCACACTCGGTCCCATCATTTAAATTTTGTTTGTTGTATTTCTATCAGAATATCTTATGATTGAATGGCTGCATCTCAGACTAGTGTTGAACTTGAATCTGAATGACTCTATGGTCTTGTTTCTTCAGTCCACTGTAATGTTAACATGACTGCAAACATTTCTCTGGTGCGAACTGATCCTATCACTGATTCTTCTCCCCACCTTAACGGTTAAGTACTGATTTAGTCAGATGCTCAAACTTTTGCACATGCCACAATTACTATTCAATGTGTTTCTATTTTATTAAGTGCATGAAATAAAAAGCAACAGCGCAATGTCTGCTGCAGGGATTTTATTTATTTATTATATATGCGATTTGCCCAGGGGTTTACAAACTTTTGCACACAACTGTAGATGTAATAGTAATTTTGAAGCATGTAGTCATCATGTATAACTTTAAGTAGCTGTCCTTTAATTATATTTTATCAACTGTTTACACCAAAAATACACTGAGTAATACAAGAAGAGACAATGATAGTGAAAACACCAGATCTTTAATCAAAGTCACATTTATCTACCATGACCACATGGGGAAAAAACATTTCATTGTACAAAGGGTGAGACTGTAGCGACTGTACCACTGGTAGTCACAGGAGCTTTCTGGAGAATACTGGATACATCCAAGCACTCAGCAGAGCAACATGCCACCTTAACAGCTAACCAGCAATACTCAACTGCTACACAACTGCGCCTAGTGCACAAAAAAAAACATACAAGCAGGATTAGGATCAAAAAATGAAAAACAAGAAGGTGTCTAGAGTCCAGTAAATGATGTCCTGTAAAATTAAATGATATAAACAAGATGAATTATACGTTAAAATCTGTGAAGACCTTCCGCTGACCAGACACATTCTTCAAATTGATGACTTTAACCCAAACTTTACACCCCTAATCATTTTACTGTGTATCATGTGTAACCATATACAACACAGGGGTTAACACACACACTGCTGTCATGCCTAACAACGACACCCTGAGCTGCAGCAATTAAAGATCGTAAGGAAAAATTTCATGTAGAAAAATGTAAATAAAAGCAAAATGTCTTCATGTTTACTGTAGTTTATGTCACTTTGGATGTGATGCCAGTGAGATGAATGTGCTAGCCAGCTAACTTTGGGCTTAACTCAGGCTTTCCAGCATCATAAAGCCGATTCACTTACTATAATACAGTAGACTTCCATGACTAAACTAAACCAAAAAAAATAAAAATTCTACATCTTCACAATATCTGGATATGGATGGATGCAACAAAATGACAACAACAAGAAAACAAAATGTTTTGATGTCAAATAAGAAAATCTCAGAAACTTGCTACTTTCTTCTATTTTATGTCAGAGTAAACTGAATCTTTGGATTCTGGACTATTGATCGAACAAGACAAAAGACACTTGAAGATGTTACCTTGAGCTTTAGGAATTGTACTGGGCACTTTAACTATTTTCTGGCATTTTACAGTGATTAGATTGAGACAATAAACTCAGATAATTATATATTCCAAAGATAAAATAATCAGAACATATAACACATTTGTCCAGTTTGGGTTTAAAACATCAGGAAGAAAAGTAACCAGTGATCGAAAGTCACTGCAGTTCAGGGGAATATAATAAAGACTTATAACATTCATCCAGTAATTATTGTATATCTTTTGCCTGAATGAAAGTTATATTCTCATACAGTATCTGTGATGCTGCCTGTGACTGGATTGTAATTATGAAATTAGTTATGACACCAGTTATCAAAGACCAGGAATGTCAGGCTTAGCAAGGCCAGGAAACCCAAAGAAAGCTAGACACAGGTGAACTCGCTTCATGATACAGGCTGCAGAGAGGAGAACTGAAAGGACAGGTGCAACCTAGACCAATGCAGCACATTTATATTATGTCCTGAACTCATCTAAAAAGCTATGTCTGAACACAAATTCTCCTCCACGTTAAAAACGTTTTCAAAATCATAAAACATGTTATGAAAAGGAAATAAAAATCACAGCACATCGATGTCATGAAAAAAGCCTTCCTAAGGCGAAATGAATAAAACAGACCAAAGCATGGAAGACACAATAATAACCTTTTACAGCTGGACACTGTTGCTTGTGTGGGATCCTGTCTGAGAAGTTCTGAGGTTGTCACCTGAAACTGGCAAAACAAGCAAAAGTTAGGAAATGTCAACTAAGAGTGAGCCAACAATTTGAAATCAAATCATCAGTGCGCTTTTAAAAAACCTGATACCAATCAGTTGTGTGCATATCATATTGACTTTTAACACAAAGCCTCAAGGGTCCAGCTCTCTCTTCTTTTTCATCCTTTGTCCATGATCACACAGTACTCTTCTGCCTTCAGTACCCTTAAGTCAGACCTACCTCCCGTGTTTTTGTATGCAAGTCTTTGAGCATTTTATGCCTTTATAGAGGGAACAGTAGAAAGATGACAGGGGTGGGGACACATGCAACAAAGGTCCTTGGCCCAACTTCAGCTGGCAACATTAAGGTTCATGGTCAGTGCCTTAAAACCCCAGACCAGGAGGGCACCACACTTCAACAGCTGAAACGATTGGTCAAGTTATTGTTTAGCTGATCATCAGCAAATTAATCAGCAACCATTTTAACAATCAATTGTATAAGTTACCCGATGCTCTGTGGTTCCAGCTGTTGAAATGTTCATTTTGATTTCAATATCTGTAGTTTAATTGGTTGTACAAAACTATTTGAAGACATCATCTTGCCCCCGGGAAACTTGTGAGGCTGGCATGTTCTGGTGAACTCCTACTGACATATTATATATTGAATCACAGCATTAATTTAGTTTTTAATCAGCGATGCTTAAAGCCGAGTGCTGCAAAGCCAGGATGTGAAACGCTCCCTGTCTAATTACAGCCCTCGTATCCCACTACAGTCATTTAAAATGAGGTACAACAATAAAAGTGAACAGCCCGAGGGCTGACAGACAGACATACCTCAACACCAAACCCCAACACTGACTGCCTCCGCTATGCTGCACAGAAACCCTCACCAGCAGCAGGCGGCCTGTGGGCAGCTCACCACCCACCTAACTGCTCATACTGCCTCAGCTCAGCTCACACTCCACTTTAGCAAACAGGATGCCGCAGCTTGGGAAGGAGAGAAGTCCAGATTTGTTTTACTGTCAGAACCGTTCATAAAAAAATAAATAAATAAAAACCCAGCTATGTGAGTATACAAGAACTTGTGTTACAAATAAAGTCTGGAGGAAAAAATACCCCACTTTACCAGCACAGAAACATTGTTTTATTTAAGAGCAACTTATCATTTACTACTAAATTTTTAGTTTTGAATAACTAGATTCAGCATGGTCTTGGTCCTGCTGAGCTTTAACTGGACCATCCCCAACCCTGATGAATTAACGAAACTAATGAAACAAAGGAGCACTGGAACAAAACATTAATAAAAATGTCTCATTGCTGGTGTAAATGCAACATCTTGTAAAAACTCACCTGCTGCTGTTGTGCTGAGCTCTATGGGGATTCACCTCCATTTTCTGCTGCTGACTTGGGCTGGCTTTTAGACCTAGACCTGGACCCTCTTTTGGAGGAAGGGGTACGGCTTCTGGACCTAGACTTGGACCTGGACCTGGATCTGGAGCGGGATTGGGACTTGGCCTTGGTCTTCTTGCTCCTGGGAGAGTGGGACTTCGATCTGGAGTAGGACCGGGACCTAGATCTGCTGGAGCGGGATCGGCTCCGAGAACGAGAGCGGCTCCTGCTGCGGGATCTGCTGCGTCTTCTGTGTCTTGGGCTGGGGGAAGAGCTGGATACATTCAGTGGGTTGAGTTATCTACAGTGTTAAAACAGCTGGCACTGAACTGAAGACACTGTGACCTGGGATGGCAGTCCTGAACGGAGCCACCTTGATACCCAAGAGACACCTTATACAGATTTGATTAGGGTTTACTTTGTCACTAATAAGATAGTAAACTCAGGATTAATTGACATTGGTAGATCAGATGTCCTAAGAAAACACAACTGAAAAACTCTGGTTATTCAGAACATCTCGAGTCGTGGCTAATTGTCTCTCTCTCTCATTGTATACCAAACAGAACAAAACGGATGTGCAACAATGAATTTATTAGGTTCTCCTGGTAAATTCAGTATTGATTTGATCCACCAAGCAGCTTGTTCTTTACAGAGAAAATCTGTATCACAGTAGCTTTTGTTACATGTGATTTATGACGAATTGTAGAGTGGATCTTGCTAGTTAGCAAAAACAATAAAATACTTCTGTGCATTGGTCAGTAGGCCAAGGCCACCTTGAATAGCCGAATTCTTCTATGGATTCTGGTTTCGGTGTCCACCCAAAGTTGCTCGCTTACTCTTACCTTCTGCTTCGCCGTCCAGAACCCCCGTACCTCCGCGTGGGTCCTCCACGCCGCCCTCCACCGTAGTGGGAATCTGGGGGTCTTCCATACCGGGCCATCTGGACGCGCAGCTCCCGTCCATCCAGGAGCGCACCGTCCATGGCGTCCATCGCATCTTCGGCGTCCCGTTTATCGTGGAACCGCACAAAAGCGAACCCCCGGCTTTCTTTGGTGTAGCGGTCTCGGGGAATGTAGACGTCCCCTACCCGGCCATACTTCTCGAATACACGTCTGAGGGTTTCGGGCGATGTTCGGTAGGTGAGATTGTCCACTTTTAGGGAAGTCATGCCGTCGACGTCCGGCGGAGGCCTACCGTAACTCATGGTGATTAACCTAAAAGCCTGGCAGCCTTCCTCGAAACAGTTTATATCTTGACTGCTTTACCACCTGCCTGTAGAAATCCACACACAGACTGGTGTAGTTTTACCCGAAACACGTTGTTTGTAAGATACTTGAGGCCGCACAATCACGAAATAAGAAACTGTTTCCAACGAAGATAAGTCCGCGGCGCTTCCCACTGCCCTGATCCCGCGAGGTGAACTTCTTCTTCTACTGAACAAATGAGGAGCTCCTCGGAATCATATTTGGCGCATTTGTGCCCTCTTGTGGAATTCAAAATAAAAGCGGCAACACGCAAACAACATGAAACAATTTCTTATTATTTGAATTTAGAAAAAAAAAATTATAATTGCGGGTAAACCACTAAGAGTTTTGTGGAAGGCTCTATCAGCTTCGTTATTTTTACTATTTATCATGCTAAACTTTCTCTCTGAAATTAAAAAAAAAATCTAATTTGGTTTCCTTAACTCCTGCACAAAAGATGAAGGTGAAGACAAGTCCTACCTCAACAATCTTATCATATTTATGACCAGATCTTAAATTCATAAGTGTAAATACTCGAACAGGAACCTCTTTTTTCCTGGTAATGAAATTAAAATATACATGTATATTATTTCACAAATTGGGAATAGAACAACTGTTATAATGCAGAGTATAAGTATGTCTTTTGGTGTTTTTATTTAATTATATTCTTATTGTTAAAAGGTATGTGCCCCACTCTCTGGTTCGTCTTTACTGTTTGTAATTTTACTGGTTTTATGTGATAATGACTTAATACGTATTTTGATACTTGAGAGGAAAATACTTATTTTTCCGTAACGTATTTTTTTTTTAACTGATTCATTTCAACGTTTTTACATTTTTATATGTAGCTTTATTATGACCGGAAGTTGTGCAAATTTATTTGTTGTGCTAGTTAGCTAGCTGGCTAGCTGTAGCGTTTCCTGAACAGATGAACATTTGTGTTTTTTAAACAAGAAACTGTTTATTCTTCATATGAGGTTATTTTAAAAAAAAAATGGATATGATGTACAATTACTAAACACCCGCTGTGAAGTGGAAAACATTTTCCACAAACAAACAAAACAAAATTGGATTGGATTGGTCTAAGCAGATTCGCTGTTGGTGAAGTTTCGCTGCACTGAGCGTTTGTAAATCTGCGTCGTGGTGCTAAAGGCACAGCTAAGGTTAGTCAGCTGATTCATTCACATGACAAACCCGTTTAGCTTCGGTCCCGTTTACCGGTGCTGTGCAAGTACACAAGAGAATTGTTTCCATACGACGGAAACCATCCTATTAAAGTTAGTTTGGGGGCTACACGGAGAAAACGGATGAGTGAAGATATCGGACGGTCCACAAACAGCTAACTATGCTACTAAAAACACACTGAGTCCACACAAAGAGGAGCAGCCAGGGTTAGCTACGCGGCTTCAGCACTGTTGGTAAGTTGTTTCTTAGTTGTTTTCTTAAGATTGACATTACACACACAAAAAGCCCCCCTGTCTCTTGGAAACAGCTATTGTCTCGATTCTTTCCTCTTCATTTTAAGAATTGAACACAAAGACAACAGCCCTTTAGAAAACCTGTCAACTAAATGCTCCTCTTCTTATAGTTAGACATAACATCTGTTAGAAAATTCTTTTGTGTCTTATGGTAATGAAAACTATCCACTTCATTATTCGGCATACAATACATTAACCAAACAACACATCTTTTACGGCAGTATAACTTTAAGCTTGAATTTGACTGTCATTTCCAGACTGGTCGTTCAACAAAACACGATTTGAGATGGGTGCCGGCAAGCGGTGAAACCCAATTCTAAAAGTTGTTATTTTAGCGAAATAACGTTATTGCTCTGTGAACTGTTATATGCCGAAATTATAACTGTGTACGTTCAAATCATAAATTGTCAGGAAGTATCTATGACTCGTCTTCTAATGTGTGTGTCTTATAAAACAACAGATTTTTGAATGGAGTTTGGTTGAAAGAGAGAATGTATTTCACCAAGGATTATTACAGTGAGAGCATTTAAGTTTCTTGAATATTACGCACTTTCCTGATTTGTATTTTTTTTTTCTTCTCCTTCTATTCACAGATGTGCTGTTCACTCCTGTAGATTTTCTGTTTTCACTTCCTCTAGGAACTTGCTCATAGCTTCCAAAATGAATCCAGAGGGGAAGAGGCTTTTAAACATTGTTATCCTAGGATTCGGCTTTATGTTCATGTTCACAGCTTTTCAAACATGTGGAAATATAGAGGTAGGTTGGATTTATTGATCCACATTACATTACTGACAGATCACATGTCACTCTCTGGCAGTCATCTCTCTCTGTCTTTACAGCAAACGGTTATCAAGAGCTTCAATAGCACTGAGTTCCATGGAAGCGGGTATACGAGGTAAACTACTGGTATCCATACAGCCATTTACACTTACTGTGTTACATCATATTTCACTGATGCTGCAGCAAACAATATTTTTTTTTACAGATGTTAGGCTATGGTTTCATAGACTTGAAGACTTTACCAGCATTGATACAGACCTGGTGGCACATTCTATAATCAAATCTGTCTCACTCACTAATCCCTGCAGAATAATCAAATTTTAGGTAAACCATTTTAAGGAACAAAGTTTACTCTGAGTTCAGTGAGCAGCACTAAGTCAGGAGTTCATGAAACATCCTACTACAATTAAAGTAACTCAAAAAACAAACAACAAATCCTGATATTTGAGAAGCTGGAACCATTAAATTTTTGGTAGTTTTACTCTCGTCTCTCGTCTCGTCATCTCCCGCTTATCTGGATCCGGGTCGCAGGGGCAGCAGCCTCAACAGTTGCAGATTAAATTTCTTACAATCTTAAAAAAAAAAAAAAAAAAAAAAAAAAAAAAGATTAATCGGCCACTTGCTGGCATTTGACAAAAAAACACTAGTAAAGTACAGTACTAGTTAGGTTCCAGCACTGGGCTTTGTGATGTAGGATGTCATTGACCAGTTGACATTAATTCTTGTGTATTTCAACTCTTTGTAACATGGCCATGTTTGTATTTTTAGATTGTTTTCGATCTAAAATCAATCTGGTTTTCAATCTGACTCTCTTTCCTCAAACTGCCCGTTAACTGTCCTGTCATCTCTCACTCAGTATGGCCATCATCTATGGAGTTTTCTCTGCATCCAACCTGATCGCTCCTTCAGTGGTGGCTGTCATTGGACCACAGCTATCAATGTTCTTTAGTGGGCTTTTGTACAGGTAAACTCACACTGACTAACACTTTTCTCGCTCCCACCTTTTCATGCTGAATCAGGCTTCTAACGTGTCTTCATATTGTTTTTGCAGCGGCTACATCGCCATGTTCATTTACCCGTACACATGGAGCTTCTACACAGCGTCTGTGTTGGTTGGAATTGGAGCAGCGGGTAATTAGACTTAATCCAACAACTTCTTTTTTTTTTTTTTAAATAGTTCCCTTTTGTGTGTATGTGTATTTATTTTTCCTTTTTGTACTCTAGTGCTCTGGACGGCTCAGGGTAATGTGCTCACCATCAACTCCAATGACGCCACCATCGGAAGAAACAGTGGCATATTCTGGGCGCTGCTGCAATTCAGGTAAACAGGAGAACTGTGGCTATTCAAGTTTTTTATGAACTTTTCAAATATGTGGAAAACATAAGGAAACTTAGGACAAAATTGTGCAGTAAATCACTGAAGAACAAGTAACAGACAAAAAGAAAAAGTCTGGGAACACAGAGGTAGAAATGAGACATGCCAATATATCACAGAAAAAGTAGGGTAACAGTTTATTTTATGGCCCCTTTCCTCATAATTTCCAAAAAATAAGCTGCTATTTCGCTGTAAATTGCAAGGAAATTTCCAAGAAAGTCCTTCACAGTTTGATACTAAATATAAGGGAAAAGGAGAACATGTTACTTGCCTCAGTAATTAAAAACCCATTTACATTTGTTTTTGATGAAAAATTAGAAAATTATCTTGTACATAAGTGAAAATAGTTCATACACAGACGTCAGTATCCATCAGAGTTTCATAGAAAGACAAAACAAACTCTTTTAAGACTTGATCAGATAGAAAATGTTCCACTGAGTCACATTATGTCACAGCTCTGGTCTGTGACATGAGGTAGAAACATCGGTGACATTTTATAACACAGAGCGAGTTTTATTTGTTGATCATCATCAGAGTGAAACTTTCCACTGCAGCTGAAAACTACAGGTCAGAATGAAATTCAACCAACATGCAGCATAAACTTCAGTTCAGTATTTACTGATCACCAAGCACTTGAAAGTATTAAAAACTTTTTCTCTATACAAATCACTGACTTAACTAATGACTCATTTTCATCAAATCATGGTTCCCACAGAATAGTTTTCTCACTAATTCTAATTAATTGTATTTTCAAAAGTCACAAATATCCTTGTCCATAACTGAGAGATTTGTATTGTATCCATGGATGGATTGTGAGACAAACGGCCCCTGGACACAGACATGTACCAGGCCCCTGCCACCATCCTTCATAAGAGTGACAGCCTTGTTTGTAGTCAGTTTGTCTAGTTTTGCATCTCTTTGTAGTTGTTGATTGACTTTCCAACAAGAAATGTTAACACTCACTACACACAGAGGCTCTGATCCATGGGCCCCTGACCCTTCGGGGCCCCTGGACCTGTGCCTGGTAGGCCATTTCAGTAATCTATCCATATTTTTATCTGTACATCTTGAGCTTTGAATGCCTTCTTCATCATAAGCCTAACCCTTCATCTCTCTGCAGCTTGTTCTTTGGAAATCTCTACATATACTGTGCCTGGCACGGACATGTCCACATAACAGGTAGGAAGAAAGCTGTATTTTATAAAATCTCTGCCTCATCTGCACAGTGTGTATTCATTCCTATTCATAGGTTAGTAATTCCCATGCTGACTTCTGGTAGGAAGTTGTAATTTTAAGAGTGTGACTCATGTTGTTTGTCTCAGACAAAGACCGTCAGACGGTGTTCATCTCTCTCACGGTGATCAGTCTGGTTGGCTGCTTCCTCTTCTTTTTGATCCGGAAGCCTGACCCTGAATCCTCTCCCGCCGAGGCGTCAGAGTCCCTGCTGCAGGCCGAATCCACAGAGAGCTCCACAGCTAGGTGAGTTTACTTCAGTTTGTTCATTTATTTGACTGGGACGATGCACATTAATTAAATCTCTGAAAATATGCCTGAGTTAGCCACAAGTCTGACTTTCATCTGTTGTCCCTGAGCACACACACAAGATAAAACTTTAATAGTATAAAAAAGAGCACACTATCATATCATAATATGAGTTATATGCAATGAGCATAATACCATACAATACAGTAAGACAATATTACACAATAAGAGCACTGAAACCGTCTGTCACTGTATATTGCTTCTGCATCATGAAAAAGTCCTGGAAAGTTACCAAACTGACCAAAATGTCCTGGAGAAAACGATTAGTTATTCTTGAATTGTTTTTAATTTACAACAAAAATGTTTTTTTTTGTCACTGATGAGGAACGAGGTAAACTCGAACTGGCCTGTTCAGGAATAAGGGGTTCCAAAACGAGGCATCGTACTAAAACACGGGTCTCACCAATTCTACATATCAAACAGAGGGAATTTGAAATAAAGACCTGCCTCTACTAATTGCCTCAAGAAATTCAGGAGGCCCAGAGCTGCACAAGGGGCCCCAGAACTGGCCCTTGGTTATTGATATCTGTTGTTAGGGGACACAAAACTTCTGGCAGCAGCCTCCATGAACTTCTTGACATTTTTACAATAAGATTGCCGCCAAAAAAAACAAAAAACACATAAATTGTGGAAAGTAGCCTTGAAATGTTCTGGAAAATATATTTTTTTTAAAGACAGATGGGAGTCCCTGCTCATCCCTCTCGGACCAGGAACAATATTACAGTGCAGGACGAGACAAGTGACCTTTAACTGTAAATGTTATCCTTTGTCGTCTTTCCTACATTTCTCTTTGAAACTGCTGTGAAACAGTTGCCACAGCAACCAAGTCCAGTTAAGGGATGAGTCAAAAGGTGAAAATGTCAGAGAGAAAATGAGTGTGTGAAATGCGGAGGGACAGAGTCCTTTGAGACAGAAAGTTCCAGTTATATCAGTATCTGTATTATCGACTGCGGGCATCTCATTTTTCAGCTGCTGTCTGTGTTTTTTTTGTTTTGTTTTTTTTACTGACGACATTTTCCTCCTTGCAGCTCATCTCACTCAGGCCTCTGCTCACAGGCTCTGAATGCTTTTGGTGAGTTCACTGGAATAAACCTCCACTCCATTGGGTTTTAATCCTCAGTGTAACAGAACTTTCTCATGTGCTAACGCCCACTTTCTTGTTTGCAGTCCAAGCGTGCAAAATATTTGTCACCAAAGAGATGATGCTGCTGAGCATCTCCATAGGATACACAGGTGGGTAAAAATGAGGATCTGATGTGTTGAAGTGTGCGATGTTGATGAGTTCGAAGTCATGCATGTTGCTCTGTGTGCTCCGTCAGGCTTGGAGCTCACCTTCTACAGCGGGGTGTACGGGACGTGTATTGGATCGATGACCCGGTTTGGCCAAGATGCAAAGAGTTTGATCGGTATCTCTGGGATCTGCATCGGCATAGGCGAGATCTTAGGTGAGTCCTCCGAGCTGTGTCTTCTCCTTACTTTCATGTATGATGCAGTTTGTCACATGACAGCACTGCAGAGAGAACAAGGAAATGGCTTGACGAGTGTCACGAGGCTACGAGTTGTTTAGTTTTCCTTCCTCTGTCTGCTCTGTCTGTCCAGGAGGGGGCGTGTTTGGGATGCTGAACAAGTGCAACCGGTTTGGTAGGAACCCAGTGGTGCTGCTGGGGCTCATCACTCACTTTGTTGCCTTTTACCTGATTTTCCTGAACATTGCAAGCGATGCTCCTCTGGCCCCGGAGGCAGGAACAGATCTGCAGGCCTACATCAGCCCCAGGTACAAAGAGCGCCTCCTAGAAACCAGTAACAGAGGCTTCTGACCAAGAGCCACACATTCAAAGAGATGTGTCTTTGGTCATTTTGTGTCTCTTTTTGGTTGTTTTGTGTCTCGTTGTTGTTGCTTTGCATCTCTTTGTGGTGGTTTTCTTTTGTCTCTTGTTGGTTTTGTGTCTCTTTCAATTTGCATCTCTCTATTTTCATTTTGTGTCTCCTTGTTGTCACTTTGTGTCTCTTTGTGGTTTTGATTGACTTCCTGACAAGAAATGTTAGTGATTACTTACTATCAGAGGCTCTGGCCAGTCAATCTGTCAGGCTAAAACACAGTTTAATCCACAGTTCCTCTTTACTGCTGCATGGTGAACATGACTCAGTTGTCACACTGCACTCACTCTGTACTTCAGCACATTATTACAGTCAGTTAATGTGAGATTGCACTGCAATTAAAATGAAGTTAATAAACATTTTTTACTAATGACTGTAGCCTGATAAAGTCAAATTTAAGAAATAGACACACAGACATCCGGCTATTGAAAATACAGGAAGACACAGATGCCAGTCTGAAGGTATTCTTCAGAGCTGATGTGTTGAATCCCGTCATCTTGTTCATTAATTTCCAGCACTTAAGGTAAAAGAAAATTCACACTGGACTTGAAACCACAATGACATGGTCACATCACAGGAGGTCTGAGCTTGCTGCTGATTGGGAATACAGTGGTTTTGTTTATTTTTGCTGTAGTATTTTATTCTTCATATGTTTCATATGTGCTGCTGCGACCATGACCACTGTGTTTATTGTGAACTGGTGTGATCTGTGCTTCGTTTTGTTCGGTTCATTCAGGGGTTTTTCACAATATGACCATTTTTTCTGAGCATCCTTTATGAAACACTCCTGAATTTGTTTATTCAGACTATGTTTAGACCCAGTTGTTCTTTTGACATGGAGATCATGGTGGTCCATCAGGCAGTCCAAGTGCCTCTTGTTAACTTGAGTGTTTGTGTGTTGTGGCCCAGTGTCAGCGTGGCATTGCTCTGCAGCTTCCTGCTCGGTCTGGGCGACAGCTGCTTCAACACTCAGCTTCTCAGCATCATTGGCTTCATGTTCCGTGACAACAGCGCTCCCGCCTTCGCCGTGTTCAAGTTCATCCAGGTGACAATCCAGCACAGTGACAGTAACATCAGTTCAGTTAAAACAGTGAATATAAAACAAATATAAGTAATATATATATTTGGATTGTATGTTTTATTTGGTAGCTTCAGAGGACTAAGTTTCCCATGAGCAGTGTTTGAGTTTCACTTTAAATTTCATTCATTCAGTTTCACTAAATCATTGTAACGTATTGTTATTATTTCCTCTGCAGTCCATCATGGCCGCTTTGGCCTTCTTCTACAGTAACTACCTGCTGCTGCACTGGCAGCTGCTCATCCTGGTGCTGGCCGGTTTTCTGGGCTCGATGATGTTCTTCGTGGCCGAGTGGATGGCGGAGTCCAGCAGGCGGGAATCGGACTACGACAGCATCTGATCTGGTTCCGGTGAGGATGTGGAGGGCACAGCTGGAGATGTTTCGCTCTCCACAGCTGGAAAAATCAGCCAGGGATGATGAAGGTATCCTCTGCTAACAGAGACTGACACTGTGGTATGTTTAGTTTATATGGAGCCACCCGGTCTGTACGGAGCCTGGCAGTGGCTGCAGGAGAACCAAACACTCATCTTGATCTCAACATTTTTCTATACTGAATCTAAAGGCATGGGGAGGTATTGTGTGCACACCAGATATACCTCATTTAGTTTCATTCATGGCCTGTCTTTCATCGTGTTGTGCACACAATATGGTAATCGATCTAAACTAAATATGAAAATATACATGGCATGATGAGTAGAGATTTCTTAATCAAGTATCAAGCACTTTTGATTCAAGGCCTGTCAGCTATGATATAAAGTAACAGTAATGGGCCCACGGCTAGTGCCTGTACAGAGAGCTCCTGAGGAGTAACACTGACTATATCATGAATCAGCTGCAGGTTTTAATGTTTTCAGTTGGTGCAGCTGCTGTGGCTGCATGTGTAGACTTACATGATAACTCCGGCATTTTTGAACCTGGGCCTTATTTTCTATGTTTTTGAGTGTAACTATTGGCAAAATATCCTTTTTTTTCCTCTTTTTTTTTTTTTTAAACAACCATTATGTCCCTACGTTCAAAGACACCAGACTCCATTGTGTGACTTTCAGTGGTGGAGGAACTATTCAGACCCTTCAGTTAAAGTACCACACAAAAAACACAAACAAACGAATTGTGGCAGCGGTAGACCAGCAACTTCTGCGAGGTAAAATGTTTTTATCAAGGAGCCTGGTGGCTTTGAACGTAGCGATATAACAGCTGTTCCATGTTTAAAAAAAGATCTTACTTTTAAACACAAAAGTCTATCTCTGAAGGAATCCATAATGTTGTCAGACAACAATCTGAACCTGTCAGTACCAAAAGAAGAACTTTTGTGGGCGTATTTTGATGTGAACAGCTGCACCATTTTTATTACATTGCAACAGCTGTTTGTCTTGGTCAATAGTAGACTGAATGCAAAGATATTTGTCCCTAACAATCCTTTACACCCAAAAATGTGAGGAAAATAAGCCCCAGGTTGAAGAAAAATCCTGTAAGTTATCCTTTAAAGGATAAATGTGGTGTTTTCTTCTATTCTATATTTTTCTTTTTCTCAACAACTCCCATGAAAAGACCAAAATCAACAGTGAGTGAGTTCCATTAACAAGCGTCAGAGCGTGAAATAGCTGATTCCTCTGAGCCACAGAGCTCCACTGTTTTCAAACACTATTAAAACACATCAGTGAGCCTCACTGTTGCACTGGGTGACATTTTTCTTCATCACCAATGAACACACACACTCTAGTTTATTTTCACTGAGTCCCACACACACTGTCCTGCTGCCCCACATAATACAAACATGAAACTATGTTTTTGTGAGGTGTTTTTAAAGATTTACGTCTTCAGTAGGAACCAATGGGCTCAGAGCTGAGAGACACGTTATTGGTTTTTCTCTTTTCATGGGATTTGAAGACATTTAAAATAGAATAACGCCAGGCTGATCTTTCCGCTCTGTTGTGGGACCTCTCCTGCACTCACAGGGGCATGTCATGTGCACAAAATCAACTTTGAAATACTGACAGAAAAGCCACTCCTGGGCTCCATACGTCTGCGTTCTTCCCTCTAAAGTGCAAAAGGAAACTGTCAAAGACTGTGATTTAGTCATGTTGTGTATCCACTGCTTTACTCTACAGTCTGTCCCACATGTTTAGCTGCAGTCGCGAGGTAATCACAACCTCAAACTTTTACAACAGATATTCTGCAATCTCAAGTCGTTGAGATTGACTGACTTTGATTTAAGGACATTACAGCATCTGGAAGTGGAGCAGTTTAAAGGGAAACATTATCAAGAATCTTTTTTTTTTTTGAGTGTGAAATCCATTTTCACTCTCACTCTTTAGCTATGCTGTTCTTCTTCTTTTGATACACTCATCATACACCAAGTGCTACATAATCGGTTTAGCTATAATAAGATCCAGATCGTCTTGAGGGCAACCCATGACTCCAAGAAACTTCTCATAATTACAAGTGGGTGACTTCATTTAGTTCAGATGAAATTAATGGAGGCTGTTTGGTTTGTGCAACAAAGAAAGAAAAAAAAATGAGTCCTTTTCTTTTCTTTGCTGCTTTTTCTCACCTCTTTAAACTCTTAACCCTCTTTATGGTGGATTAAAGGGGTTACTCCAGTAACAGAATGGTCAAAAGTGAAGCAGCAGACAGGTCAAGATCCAAAATTCCCAATAATGCACCTAGGTAGTGTCATTTCTTAAACCCTTGCTGCCTGGTAAATGTCTTCGTCTTTCAAACTCCACACAACAAGTTTGCAAAACGGGCTTTCTGTTAAAGGTACCCTGAAGAGTTTTCAAGCCATGTTTGTAAGACAGACTCTATGTTGTATCATACAGTGTATATGTGAGCACACAGGTGCCAACAAAGATAGTGTAGTGGGTGACTGCAAGCAAGCAAACATGGATGTTAGCGGTGCACAATTTTAAAACATTACAAAATCAGCTTTTCAAATGTTTTCATGAGGGAAGTACACAGGTCAGAAACACTGAACCTAAACATTACTTTTGTTTACAAAAAAAAAAAAAACTCCACGGGGAACCTTTAAGGATTTGTAGTCCACACTTAGACGACCTTGAGCCATTAAGGACTTTATGTATGAACTGTTGAACATGACTAGTAAATGAATGTTGATTTGTAAAATCAGTGGAGTGTCCTTTTAACATGGTGAACTATCTGCGTACGTATGGTCAAACAAAACTGCCACACTCCTATCTTAATACCTTGCTACCATGCTTCCAACATGACGCACCCTCCTGAATTAAGTTACCAAAGATCTTTACTCAGTTTTTACATTTACTTTAGAACAAACTATGGACCTTCACTTTTCTGTCTCGCAGTTTCTTTACAATGAGCATTACAGCGTCACAGAGCTTGTCCTTTTCTTTTTAACTACCAGCATTGTTGGCCATTGAGAAACCATTCTCCTCAAATGATTTCAAACTGATTGGTTCCAAACCAATGCAGCGCTAAACATGGGCCTTTAGATATGTCGTCTTTTCCTGACAGCTTTATGTAATGTTGTGGTGGGAAAGGGCAACACAGAGCTGCATCTCATAAGCTGTAGTTTTTTCCCTTTCGATTAAAGAGTCAATTTATGCATTACAGTTCATATTCTAGGTAATTTATTGCCAAATAAAACATGAGGGGGTGGGTTTACTCAAGTTTTGTTTCATATTGCGACTGAAAAGGATGCAATCAATCTCAAGGATATTAAGGGAAATGCATGTGTACTTTGAAGATGATTTTATACTTGAATGTGGTAATTAAGAATGGCACCTGAACCTTCGCTTGCTTGTTTTTATTATCAATAAAATGTTATTTTCAACATTAGTTGTGTGCTTTATTGAAATAAACCAAAAAAAGTTATATATACAATGCTTGAATTCAAGGTCTGTTACAGTTTACAGTCTTTGTGTTAAAACATTGTGTTTTAAAGTGTGAAAAGTATTCAGACATGAAGTTGCTCCCTTCTGATGATTATTCACTTATTCACTAAAATCTTTACTCATATTTGATTTACATAGACATAAAATAGACAAAGCCTAGCTAAACGAAAACGAACAATACAAAGAAATAAATACAGTAAAATAGAGAACTGATAATAAAAAGACAACTTGGAGACATTTTACAAGGGTGTTATTAAAAAAACATATTTTAAAGATAACTACATTTTCAAAGCAAATATTGTATGTTTTACTCCACTACATTCATCTATCAACTTGCCAATTCTAATTCTAATTATTAAAACAAAGTACAATCAACTAGTAAATTATGATCTATTATTATAGATTAAACTACCTCATTCCTCATTAAAGTCACGCTTTTATAGTTAATTAATGGTATATATGATTATGACTTTAACTATCCAGCATAATGACTACATTTACTTTTGGTACTTTCAGTATATTTTTATTCTAATACTTTTGCAGTTTTACTAAGTAAAAGATCTGAGGGCTTCTTCCGCCACAAGTCCTATTTTTCCCATTCCGTGAACGCAGCCTGATTTGCCTCTTGTTGCCTAGCAACCGGCAACGCTGTGAGTTGACTCCAACGTGGGAATCCTCGACGCCAAGCGAGAAACGGCTAAATACTACATCCGATCAAAAGCTTGAAAATAAAAGCCCTACTTACAGTGAATTAATTTTTTTCATTCATATTTTATTGAGATCCCCCCCCCATAACAGAGATAAAGAGGATAATAAATAAAAATAAATGGATAATAAATATAGATTCAATTTCAAGAAGGCCAAGAAAGAAAAGTGAAAATAATAAAATTCAACATCCATGTATATTTCTAAAGTGAATAATAGTCAAGAAGTATACATTGAATAACAGTCTCAATTACATGAAAAAAATGCCTATAGGATCCAGTTAAGACAGCAGTCTAGATCCCTAAGCCCGGAAATCAGTCAGTAATACTTGTTACAGTCTGCGGTCACTGATTTAAAGAAGGGGCTTTATCTGTAAGCCAGACACTCATAATACATTTATGAGCGCAATGCAATAACATGCAGTAAATGTACACCTAAAAAAATCTGTGATAATTTATCCTTAATATCTATCAGACAGATCTAAGCCCCAGATGAAGAGATCATTTAAAAATCAGAAATGCTGTATATCCTGTAGGGGCAGTCTAACAAACAATGAACTAAATACCCAACCTCAATGTTCCATTATTGTAAAACTGACATGAACATGCCATGAATAACAGGCTGTTTGAGAGTAAAGGGAGGAACTACCCAGTGTTAATATAAGGGTATGCTACAGTATAATAGACAATAGTTGTGCTAGTATAGGAATATTGCAGTTCTTGATGCTATGAGGGGATATTTATCGTGAAAATTTCACAAGATGTTACTATATATGGAAATAATTAGCACGTTTCTATTGAGAATAAATCCTTTTTGCTGTTGTCTTTCAGATTTTTGCTTTACTTTGAAGAGCAGGAGTCTGTTTCCGGTGAATCTGTCCGGTTTGATGTCGCTGAGTTACCGTTTTCTTTTGAACATTTTCGCATTCAACAAACCTCCGTGATTAACGCTGACTGTGGGATGCTGGACACGATTACTAACTTTCGAGAAACACAAAAGTGATATTTTACATTTGTTTTTAAATGTTATCCAGTATATTTATTTGTCGTCACGAGCGGAATTTCTTGGCTAAAATATAGTTTAATAAGCTAGCTAACGTTAGCTTAACTTTAAGTAACTTGTCTTCCCGTTCACAAACAAACATGTCGGAGGACAACATCACCTTGTATGACTTGTTAAACTTATCCATCGGGACACCTCAGCAGGGAGCTGTCAACTTCAGCGCCCTCCACGCCCTGCTCCACGCCGTGCTGAAGCACCTGGGTATCCGGGAGATGAGGATCCGGTGGACTGACTCTACCCCCGGCGACGCGCACACCGACGCTCTGATGGGTGTCACCGGTCCCGGACAGGACCGGCACACAGAGGAGGAACAACTCCAGCTGGAGGGAGACATGAAGCACGACGTTCAGCCCAGCATCGAACTGCTGCAGCAGCAGATAACCTCCTCCGCCGCAGACGAGTCAAAGCTCCGGTCCCGCATCCAGACCTGCGAGGATGGTGTGTCCAAGGTAAGAGCAGCAACTCATTCAATCAGTTAAAATAACCCAAATAATAACTTTAAAGTCATTAAACAAGTGTTTATTTTGAATAAACCCTAAGTTACACCATATTCCTTCAACGTGTTTCAAATCACTTCTTAAAACTTATGTTTTTAAAAAGGCCTTTCTTTAATTGGTCGTTTATCATTGTTTTTATCTTATAAATACAGAATTACAGAAGTTTTAGCAGAAGTATTAAAAGTAAAAATACTCAATTACAAGTAAAAGTCTTGCATTCAAAACTATACTTGAATAAGTGTTGTCAGCAAATGTACTTAAAAGTATAAAATTATTCACTATGTTGCCAAAATGCCAGAATCATATTATGATATATTATACCATTTGGTTATTATTACTGATGCTTTAACGTGTAAACATGCTGTGGTTGCCCAAGATGAAGTTGATTCAAGCTATTTTATAAACCATTGGTTGGTTTAATTTACTAACAATGCATTGTAAAATTGACCTTTAAATGATGAATCAATTATCAAACTAGTAGCTGACTAATTGTTGCAGCCCTACACTAAATTGTTACCTGTTGGGATGCTGTTGCTCAGCATGTTAAGACATATTGGATCATTATTGATGACACATGGGACAAAGTAGATATTTTTGACTATGCTGATTGTGTTTCACTGTTTTATAGTGTTGAGATGTTCAGGTAAGTTGCAATGCTAGCCACACCCCAAGCAGTGATGTCACACCCGGTGCCTTTCCTTTGTCAGTTGATGGAAAACACCTGCCTGGCATCACTGATTGGGGTGGGCACCACAGGTACAACATGCTTGAAAGTTTCAACCCAGAGGTCAGCAGCAGTTGTTAATTAGTGTTGAGTTGTAATTGATCCTTATCCTGCTCATTTGGTTAAATTAGGTTTTCTTTGAAAAATAAGACCCAAAGACTGAGTTTGTATTTGAGCCAGCAGCATACATCGTCTTCTTCTTCTCTTCCGTCTCTGGCGGGCTGAGCTGAACATTTCAGCGTATTAAGCTGTTGGTGACAGAGCAGAGCACAATAGGAGATGGGCGCCACCCTGACATCTCAAATGACCTCTGCGTGTCTCTGTTCAGGTTTCTGTCATGCAGCTTCCAAAAGAGAGGTAGACAGAGCTGAAGATGTTAACGTCAGCATTAACGTCAGCTGTTATCTTGAAAAGACAAAGGAAGGACAAGAGTTTGATCAGAGGAGAGTTTGTTAGAGGTGAAGGTTTTTGTGACACTGTCCAGACTTGCCATCACCTTCCCCTATCCCACTCCTGATCTCATCCTCCCTCTCTCCCCCTCTCCGTGTGATAGGGGGTAATTAGTCCCCTGCAGAGATGATCCTGGTTGTCAGGGGATGAATAGCTCTCAGGTGAAAAGCAGGACATCGGGCAGGTGCAGGTGATGCTGTGTCTTTCAGGAGCCCATTTGAATCATTCATGTCCTCTGTGGGCATAGCCGGGGTCAACTAGTGTATCCGCTGACTTAACCATGATGAGGTGACCCGGCGTGCCCTCATCCACTGCTGTCTCTCTTCTAAAAGCCCCCGACCTGTCAGAACACATTTGTTTAGCCTCCGTCTGCTGCACCACTACAGTATATACCACATGTCACGGAGATCAGCCCCTCGCCAGGGTGCACCTATTAAGCTGTCAGATTAATTGTTTTTATTGGAATGTGTGTTTGGCAGTGGAAACCCCAGTGATGCCTGATCTGACTCTGTGAGAACACCTGAGTGACGTGTCTCGTTCAAAGTGCAACAACAGTCAGATTCAGTTAATGGCTGACTATTCTTATAGAGGCGACAGCTTAAAGAGTAACAAAGCCTTTCTGTCACTGAATTATTACCTACCCAGGAGGTCATTTCTCTGGTTCTGTTTGTTTGAGTATATCTCAGAGAACGTTTTAACATATTCTATTAAAATAGTCCTTTTTCTCGGTTCTGTTCAAGTGTCCCAGTACGCTGTGACAGTGCGAACAACACCAGAATTAAAGTTATTATTCACACCTGTGCTTTTCCTAGTGACATGTCAGATGAGTTGATCAGTTAGTTTCATTGCTCAACAGAAAATGAATCGCCTCCTCTTTTGATAACAGATACATTTTTATATTTAAGTCATTTTTCCACATTTTTGCTGATTCCAGCTTCTCTGATATGAGGATTTCAAGTTTTTCTTTGTTTTACATGACAGTAAACTGAGAGCTTTGGGTTTTGGGTCTGTGGATAAAAACAATTTGAAGATAGCACTAGGCGCTCCAGGAAAACGTGTTCTGACATTTTACAAATGAACAATGTGTAGTTTTGTTGTCTTTGTTAATCGTCTTTTGTGACTGCTTCTTGTCCTGAGGTCTCTTTGGATAAAAAGAGAAAAAGAGATTTTAATCTCAATGAGTGCCTGATTAAATAAAGATTATATAAAATTAAAATAATCATCAGATTCACTGATAATCAAACTAATTGTTAGTTGCCTATAAAGGCCTGTAAATAAAAAGCCAAGTTATTGCCGATACCGATATTAGGGAATAAAGAAATACCGATATTGATATATCGGCCAATATACACACAAACACACACACACACACACGCACATATATATATATATATATATATATATATATATAAACTGTATATATATAAAACATAAATACTTGTGAGAAAGATATTTAATGAAAGCAAGATATTTTAAACAATAAACACTGAATTTACAGTCAAAACATCTGAGAAGCTGGAACCAGTTCAGCTTGAAAAATGACTGAAACAATGAATTGATTAATTTCCTACCAATAGACTAATTGATAAATCAACTACTCTTTTCAGCCCTGGGTGAAATTGTTTAAAATGCTGCTGTTGCCACTGTTTTTTAATCCACAAATGCTTTAATCTGTGGTGATGATGTCATGTCCTGAAGATGACTTGACAGAGCTGCAGGCAGTTTTATTTAATATAACATATAATAATAATAATAATAATAATAATAATAATTAGGGTTTATTTAATATTAAATGTCATAACAAATTGGGATTTTGTCACAGACCAAACTGCAATCAATGTATTGATGAATGAGGTTATGTCTTGCTTGAAACAGAAGTTGACATGAATGTGTAGTCAAGTTTCAGATGAAATAAATAGTTCAGGTCCTTCCAAGCAAACACAACAGGCTTCGTGTGTCGTCGAATTTGACTGCACTAATTAACCAACTGTTAGTCATTCAGGCTGTGAAGCTGTGTGGGGTCGCCATGCATCAGGTCCTATCCAGGCATATGTGACACGTTAAACACCACCTCACATACAGCTCTGGAATTTCCTTTGTTACACACACACACACACACACACACACACACACACACACACATGAACTGTTGACTCTGCCAACAAGCCCTGAGAGTCTCACTGGAAGTTGAAATAACCTGGTTAAAGAGCAGATTATCAGCCTGAAGCACCACATGTGAAAACAGTGTCACAGCTTGATTTGTCTCATCTCTTACGTTTTGATTGTTCTCTGTCCTCTTTGTCAACTTCTGTTGAATTCCTGTCTCGTTTCATCAGGGTCGGGGAGATGGTGCTGATTTGTGTCTGTTCTTGGTTACAGGCCATGAGGCTCATACATGAGCTCCACAACCAGAAAGACAATCTGAAGGATGAGATTAAGGAGCTGCGCCACCAACAGAAGGTGAGACTGCTCAGATGGACGACTCCTGAGATTACTGGCTTGCTCACCATTCTTTTGTGAATTGTTAGCAACTGTAATTAGGGCCAGAGCAACTGAGGGGTGCGAGGACCCTATTGAAATCTCGCTGTTTATCATTATACAATAATATAATCGTCAAAGTAGTTTTGACCTGATGCAAAATCAGTTGTAGGTTAAAGTGAGACATTAAACTTATTTTACCAATCTGCTTTGAGATTTAACATCATTTCTACCATTTTCTTACATTTGTTAAACTGGATGATGAATCAGTTCATCAAGGAACTGTTTGTACATTCATTTTGCAGTGGCCTCTTCTTAAAGAGTAAATATTATTTTATATCAGCAACTATCACCAAATGCTCATAGAACACAGTGGAATATATGATAGAAATTTGGTCAAAATCCCAGTTGCTTTCTGACTCACTGGCATTCACTGATGATGAATTAATAATAATAATAAATTACATATATATATATGATAACAAGAATGGATGGATGATCAGAGGTCAGGTCAGTGCTACTCTGAACAGACAAGACGATAAATGAGTGTTAAAAAGTGTTAAATATGTAATTTCCTTTTTCTCTCTATGTTTCTTTTGACAAAAGTGGACACAGCTACACTCACCTGAGTTATGATACAATATCTGTCTCACCTCACTGTGCCTAAATAACATGCAGATATGGATGGTCATTCCTTTTAGAATAGACAGAAGGCCAAAAAGTTGTGAACACAGAAGTAAAAACAAACAAAATCCCCCAAAGTAGTGAATTCTTTTTCCTGCATTTCACGATCATGTAAATCTAGAAAAAGACACATTATAATGTATTTAGTTGTCATGATTTTCAAATCAAGCATGACAACCAAATAAGAGGGTTTTGAATATTGAAACAGATCTCCTGTGTGTAGGCGGTCGGTGCTGAGGCAGAGACAATCACTGCAGTGGAGTGCCACCGTGTGGACGCCCTGGAGGAAGCAGTGGTGAGTGTGTGTGTGTGTGGGAGGAACGTCAGCTTCACTTTGTACCGTTCACACTGAAATTATTTCTTGGCGCAGTTTTCCTACAATTCATTCTTGTCACCTCGTGTGTTTCTCACGGTGACAGGGATCTCTAATGGACACATATCAGAAGTATCCAGACCCAGAGGAGCTGAGTCGGTGTGTGACCTGGGACGTCATGCAGTCAGCTCTGCTCAATGAGGGAGAAAACCACAAGGTGAGATCCAAAAGCTGTTTGTAGACTTCCCATGAAGAGGGAAATGTAGTAATCCTGCCTGCTCATGACAGGCTTCATGACTGTTCAGTAGTTCATTACAGCGGTTCAGACCTCAGCCCTGCTCTTCTCTGAGTATAGTTTTAATGTTCCCCCTTTGTCTACAAAAGTGCATTCATACGTTCAGCTGAAACTACAAAGACTCTTCAGCATTTAGGCCTTTACACTGTGTGATTCAGGGCTGCTTGAGGCGAACATTGACATTCCAGAGAAATGTGCTCAGATCTGCTCTTCGGTCACAAAAAACTGTGATTCTGCATCACACAGTGAGACACAGCAGACGATGGCTGATTCTTAGGTTTGGTGACTAAAGACAGCATCAGCAAGTTCTCACCATGTGACTGAATGCTGCTACGCCCCACATCTACAAAACAGCCAACCAGAGTACGACATTAAATGCTGCAGTTGGGTCTTTAAAATTTAGAAGGGAAAAGACACATGCAAACAGAGAAACCAAAACGATGGCAGAAAAATTAAACAGAAAATAGCTTTGTCTGCCTTTATCTTTTAACTGAGCTCTGTGACTTTCAGACCAGAAATATTAACAGTCACTTCACTGTTCAGTAATCCATACATGGGTCCAGGTCATATTAACTGATTGATTATATTACCAGGAATTATTCTTAATAGATAATTGTCAGTCTCACAAAACACAAAAATCTATTTAATGAACAGAAACCAGTGGATCGGTCATTAACATGTCTTCACTTTTTTCTTTTGCTTTTTTTGAGCTTGTGAATTCAGGGGTTGTTGATCTGTTCAGACCCAAACATGCACCTTTCAACAGCAACTTCACTGCTGTAAACACTTCTGACACCACCACGTCCTCCTCTTCCCACCCTGTCAAGGACTCTGTCAGGACAGCAGCTCCTGGTTTTCCAGCGACTTCTGGAGAGAACTTGACACTTCAGGGAGACCTGGGCACTCAGCCAGCCACAGAGACCTCTTTGGTCCTGTCAGGGCCACCTCAGCAGACTCATCCTAAAACAGGCCGTGTGGCTGCTGGTTTGTCCCTGTCTCTATCGGCCAGCAACTCAGAGCGCTACTCAGAGACGGTGGAGGCTCTGAGGAACATTGGCAGACTGAGGGAAAACTTCAACAAGCTGGAAGCTCGTGTGGCAGCGCTGGAGAAAGGAAAGGTGGACCAGACACAGCTGGATCAGCTCAGAGAAATCATCAGCGAGCATGGTAACTATAAATCACCTGCTTGTGCCCTCTCAGTCATCTGTCATGTGTTGTCTAACGAAATGTTCAGCTTCTTACCGTGAACATGGAGGTCCTGCATGAACTCAGAGTTGTGGTTATTTTCATTTGAGATATCTGTAGATGTTGTTTTAACTGTGCTCTTGTCAGTGGTTTGAAGTGGGATGTCATGTACTTTGTGCATCAATTAGGATTGGCCCCTGGCCCCTTTGTCTCTCAGCCCTTGTTTCCTGTCTCTCTCTTTAGACTGTTGACTGTCAGTAAAGGCAAAATGGCAAAAAAAAAAAAATCTTAATCTGACAGCTGGTGGGTGGTTTGTTTATATTTTTGGGCTGCTAATCGAATGATGATCAAACCACACACACACACAGCCCTGATGTTGCAACATTGACTGACTAGTTAAGAACAATATAGACACCACCATCATTGAGGGTAAAGCCCTCATTTACAATGATGTTGAGTAAATAAAAACAAATACAACTGATAAGTAATGTAATGACAAGAATCAATTAAAACAGATACAAACAGAAATTAAAATGTTTGAGATTAAGAATATAAAATGACCATGAGGTACTGACAAATTAATTTTAAAGTGCTTTGTAGTGAGTTCCAGGGTTAGTAATGTGGTCCAGTGTACCAAACTAACATGGGTGTGAGATATGAAGGCAGTTTTTCAAGGAGGGCTTTGTAAATAAACAAATACATATACAGAGAGAGCGGAAGAGTCCTGGTGTCCCGGTGTGTCCTGCTGAATGATTGGCTCCAGTGATATGTCCTAAATAAGATGGTGGGGTTAAGGTGATTTTATTACTTTTGCACAGAGCCTAGTTCCCCCTGTTGTCAGTCTGTATGCTAAGCTAAGCTAACCTGCTGCTGACCTCAGCAACATATTTATCAGACAAATACATGTGTGAGAGTGGCATCAATGTTACATCTCTTCTAACTCTCAGAAACTATTTCTTTAATAACATTACAGACAGCAAAAAGCAAGCGTCCTTAACTGCTGGATTTTGCAGTAAATGGATATTAAACCTTAATTGAATGAATCATGTTTTGTTGGAAAATCACTTCCCTGACTTGCACCAACAGTTTCATGTTATATTTTACATTCAGGTTCTCAGGATGTGACTAATAACCTGATGGATCGAGTGAACGAGCAGAGAGCTTTAATAGATGGCCTGATGAGCGACCGGGAAAAGGTGGGTGAGAGAAACAACAACAGAGGAAGAAAAATACTCACATCTCAACATCTTCACCAAGGCAAACTCCGCAGTATCACAAACTGTCTGTTCTGGCTCTGATGATATAATGTGTCTGTCCAAAGCTGGACGATTTGGAGGAAATGTTTATGATCCTGACAAACCAAGAAAGAGAAACCAGCTCAGAAGCAGAAGCAGCTACAGAGAGTGTGGAGTCAGACAGCAGCGCCACTCATGAGCTCAGACAGCAAATATCCCTCCTCAGGTAAAGACAGGTGGCAGCACACAGGGAGAGGGATCAGTAACAGCCAAATGCATGAGTTTTCCAATTACATCTAAAAACATAAACAGGCTTTGTACAACAAAGTTTAGAAGAACACTGTGAGTGTTTAGATCAGGTTAGACGTTGGTCTGTGTTTTCACTCATGGTATCCAGGAGGTCTGTGCAGAAACTAGAGGAGGGCCTGAAGCAGCTGAAGGCCAGACAGGCTTTATCAGAGGAGAAACTGAGAGACCAACACCTCCAAGATCAGGTCAGACAGGAGGCATGTGAGGCATGTTTGAAGGGATTCGACTGCATTAAGTCATCGAACAGGGACACGGGGTCATTGATACTAAGGCCCAGTAATTACTGCACAACAGTTGTAGTCAAACACACAGTAACATCAGCAGCAGTTTAAACCAGCAGGTACAAGTCACTTCTTAAATTTTGAATCTTGTTACAACTTCAGGTTTTTTGATAATTAAAAAAGGAGCATAGTTTCAGCTGAATACTAGAAATACACAGTACTGTCTCTCTGGTTACTATGGAGATGACCTGAGGTAGAGTATGGGTAAAACAGTTGCACAAGTGGTGAAGTAGTAAAATGTAAGACCTCACGTACAAAACTAGAGCTGGAATAATCAGCCGATAAGCTGATCGACAGAAAATCAATCAGCATCTATTTTGATAATCAGTTAATGATTTGAGTCTTTTTTCAGGCAAAATTAGCAAAAAATGATCTGGTTCCAGGCTCTTAATGTTTTCTGGTTTTCCTGGTCTTCTGTGTAGTTAACCATAATAACAATCTTTACCCCTGAGGACACTATTTGCTCACAATCAAGTCATCAAGAAAAATAATGTACATGTTAATTGAAATTGGAAATGATCATTAACTGCGGGTTGCTTAGATGTTAAAACAGATATCTTTCTTTGCCAGTGGGAGATGACACCCACGTGTCTTCATCTGCAGGTCAGAACTGCTGCTGCTGTTGCTTCCTGTTCCTCTGTGATAGCTTGTGTAAATAGAACCGGTCTGACAAACAGGCCTGAATGAGCATATAAGAAAGTTACAGGACAGCTATATGAGGTGTTTCTTACCCAGAAATAATGATTGTTCTCTTAACTTTTATCAGAGTAAGAGCAAGTGTAGAGAAAATGGACAATGTTGTTGTTTTTTCAAATGGAAATAGAGATTGTAGAGTAAGTGTCCGGTATCAGCCCGACATACAGTACATCAGTGTGATCTCAATTCTGTGCCCTCTGACCTCAGCTGGACGACCTGCGAGGCAGGTTGGAGGAAATGATGCTGTCCCTGACCTCCGAGCTGTCCAGCAGCCTTCAGGATGAGGCTAGGCAGGATGAGAGCAATAGTCAGGATAAAGAGGGATCAGCTTTCACCACTAGCACAGTAGCCATTGGGAGGAGGCTCAGCTGTCTGTTCAAGCGCTACGAGCACCTGGAGGACATGGTGAACAGCCTTCTCCAACAGCAGACAGGAGCCAGAGCAGGGATGGTGAAGGACAGAGAGGCAAGCCAAATCAGTACAGACAGACAGTTAGGTCAACTAGTGTGTTGATTCAGAGCTGGTTCACCCAGTCAGCTGACAAGAACTACAATAAGTTTTTTAAGAAAGAGGTTGTTTTATCTTTTTAACAGTTAGTTAGGAAGAGGTAAAACTAACCTGTGTGTGTGTGTGTGTGTGTGTGTGTGTGTGTGTGTGTGTGTGTGTGTGTGTTTCTCAGAGCGTGGAGCTGGTGAACGATGTGCAGAAGGTGATCCTGCAGCTTCAAGCCGAGTGTGAAAAACTGCATGAAACAACCAGGTGTCTGCACGAGGACAACACACAGAAACAGAACCACATAGAGGTAAAGAAAAAAACTTACTGCATGTTTCATGTTGCTCTTTTCTTTGCCCCTCTCTTCTTCGGTGGGCCTTAGAGATCAACGCACTGCAGCCTAAGAAACCACATACTAATAGACAAAACACAAACATATTCAGAAAAGATGTTTATCAATTTGACATCACATGTGCTGCAAATACACACAACACAACCAAATATAGAAATGTGTTGCAAGTAGCACAGACGACAGTGGAAGTGTTTCCAGGGGACACAAAAAAGTGATGAACCTGGCTGGGATGCACCTGCATGGATGTATCCATACATACTTGTTGTTCAATGCTTTTAACTTCAAAAGTCACAAAACATTGAGCAACGTCTCATTTAGACAAAAGACAGAAAGAGGAAAATCTGAGAAAGTATCTGAACTCTGTGCACCAGAAATAAGTTTTTCCTTCTTTCCTCTCCTCTTAATTGATGCTTCATATTATTGAATTCAGGAGCTGTACAAGACGACAGAGGAGCTGGAGGAGAAGAAGGCTGACAAGCAGATGGTTGAGAGTGAAATTGTAAGTGGCCTCAATTGAAGGGTAGATACTTCAGTTACCACTCAGACAGGTATGTACAGGTGTGTGCAAAATATACAAGTTCAAAAACCCATTAGTTAAGAGTAGAGATGATCATGTTATTGGTTATTGGTAAACTGGCTATTATCTCACCTTTATTTGAAAGGTTTGATCCAGAAGAAGATAAATTTGTCGTTTTAAGAACCAAAAACCAACCTCCTCTCTCAGGCTTCTCTCTGGAGCTCTAGTAACAACAGGTTGGTGAGCCAATCCCTGAATATCCCCTGTCCAGGAAATCTGTGGCTCAGGGGCTCTGCCCGCTGAGGTTTAATTTAACCACTCAGATTATTTCTGCCCCGACCCAACAGCTCCTACCCTTACACACTGTATGAGAAGTAATAATGCAGTTGTGATTAGAGAATATCACATTTTCATTAAAAGAAGAGGATGATAAAGTCTTTAAAACCTGATTACCCTTCATCACTTCATACTCACTTCATACTTGCTGTTCCCAATCTTTGAGACAGAGCAGAGACTGATCTTGTCTCTTGTATCACATTTGGTGCATCTTTCCAACCATGGCCTGTGTCTTTGTATTTTGCTGATCTTAAGCGTCTTGTTGTGTCTCCACCTGAAGAAAGCAGATAAATCTGCTCTGGACAGCAAAGTGAGCCGACTGCAGTTTGACTCTGCGACGGAGCAGCTCAACACCATGTTCCACGAGCTGCAGAACAAAGTGACGGACCAGGCACAGGACTGGCACAAAGTCATCGACAAACTCTCCACTGAGATGGAGTGTAAGGTACGGAGAGATCAGCTGTTCAAACACTAACACTGTCAGCCATTTACTCATGTTTTGACTTTTTAACTGTAACTTCCAGTGACAGATGCAAGGGTTTGACTCATACTGCTTTTGAAAGGTTGATCTGATTAACCACGTGGTATTTGACTTGTGATCTCACCACAGCTGGTCAGGATGGAGTTGGACTCTGTGAAGAAGCAGCTGGAAGACTGCAGGAAGAATATTCATGAGAAGCTGCAGTCTCAGGGAGCTCCAGAGAACGACGATGCTGCTGGTATCAGAAAGTAGGTGTTGAAGTCACGCTCATTAATCAACAGTAAAGTTTTTCAATATCGGTAGTCAGCCCTGCTGTATTCACCTCACACCTGCACATGGTTGTTTCATACTGTGAAAATGAAGAACCTAATATAGTGACGTTTCTTTGTGTGTCTTTCTGTTCCAGACAGCTCGTGGACAGATTTCACTGCCTCTCCTGTGACCGACCTGTTGTCAAGCAGACCCCCGGACCGTGAGTCAACACAAATAACAGTGACTATCATAATTCATGTATTTAGATTTCTACTCGTTATGTGTCCAGAGGAAAAGTTATTTCATAATAAAATTTCACACAAATGGTTAATATTTTATATGACTCTGGATAAACAGGAATGTAAACTGAAACTAGTCTGAGGGTCGTAGGCATTCGAACGCAAGGCGCTAATTCTAATTTAGTCATTTCTCAGATTACAAAATCAACACCACTGAGCTGCTCTCTGAGCTCCTCTGCTCTGATATGTTTGTGTGTTTGTTTTGGTGAATAAAAGGCATTTGATGACGCTTCCCTCCACTCCTGGATTCCCCTCGAACAAGTCCATCAGGCCGTTCACCGTGTATGCTCTGGAGCAGTTTCGACAGCACTACAGGAGGTGAGAGCAGCTGTAGCCTCTGTTCACCAGCAGGTGGCACAAGAGTCTGAAAAACATAAGGTTTTCTTTCTTTGTTTTGTTTTTATCAAATTGTATTTTATTGTATTGCTAACTATAGAGCAAATAAGACTGTGCCTTAGATCTGTCAGATTGATCACCTGTATTGATCTGTAAACCAAAAAAATAAAAACCATAAACATAACTTATATGGAAGAGGTAATGTCAGACTCTAGTCTCAGCCTTCAAACACCCAGAGCTCTGGTTAGTTTTCTCAGTACCTGCTGCACTGTAAGCTGGTCTCACCGTCTCAGCCTGAAACCAGGGACCAACTGCTACAACTTTGGGGTCGCTAAATCAGGCAGGAGAAGGGAGCGGCTTCAGAGGAGCCACGATGTGATGTGCAGGCAGATAGAGAGCGCGCAGAGACGACTGAAACACTGTGACAGGGCCGCTTCCCAGGACACCATGAGCAACAACCTGAACCAGAAACAGCTAGGAGTCCAGCAGTGAGTCAGGGCCAGGACAGGGGAGAGGTTAAAGGATGGATGACCATTTTTTCAAGTTTGTCTTTCACTGTTATCATTACTCCTCTCCACACATTCTCCAAAGCTGTTATCAAACTCCAGTAACAGAAACCCAAACTGACTAATTTGGGATTTAGGGGGAGAAGTGCTGTGTAAACAGGACTGTGAACAACATCACACAAATATGTATTTAACCAGGTTTTACAGCTGTGGCCTCTGACAGCCCAATGCAATGTCATCACTTCAAAATCATGTTTATAAGCAAAAAAGTATATACAGTTTTATTACATTATATTTTTTGTGCTGTAAACGAGGCTGTGGATTTCCACAACCCCACACAGAACATCACTGTGAAGACAGACAAGAGATGAATGCGAACGTGTCCTTTCATTCTGTCCTTCTCTGTTTAGATGTTTAGGTTTAAGACACTTAAATGCTAACGGGGTAGTTAAAGCAGCAAATAAGACCCAGGGAAAGGAAAAGGATCACATTAAAAGAAAGTAGTAAATTTGGGTGGATCACCAAAGCATGAGAAACAGCATCTACAACAACACAAGTATCAGAAATAAATAAATAAAGCCTCATGTTTAAATGACAGCAGTGGAGGTTGTATGTAAACTTTTTTTTTTTAACATATTAATCTCTGGGATGCAAAACAAAAAATCTTGTAGGTCCCTTGCAGTGACCTTGAACAAATCTGAGGCTCTGAAACTTTAGATCAACAGTTCCAGATTTAGAAAAAAGAAAATCTGCAGACACTGTCTCAATGTTTCTCTCTGGCCGAGCAGTGAGCGCATCGCTGAGCTGGCGGACTACAGCCACCTGGCCGTGTCGAGGAGCTGCGGCGGGAGTCACACAGTGACCTCAGCCAGCCAACGGCGCACTGGCCTGCAGTACATGAAACACCACAACCAGCCTGAGGGGGACGGTGTCATTCAGGTATGACAAAGAAGAGCTCAGCCATCTTTTATACTGATGTAAAGTTACAGTTTATATCAACAGCAAGAATCACAGTATGTATACACAGATGTTATCCAATCAGAGAACCACAGTTCAACTGGTGAATGAACAAACACAAACACTGCCATCCAGGTTCGGAGGTGAAGAAAACATACATGTGCCAATTTATTAATCATAAATTTTATATTTCTTACAGTTGTAGAATAACAGTTAAACATTTACAAAAACATGATCATTTTTTAACTATTTATGAAATGGTTAAAATTAGCTCCATCGTGTGTGTGTGTGTGTGTGTGTGTGTGTGTGTGTGTGTGTGTGTGTGTGTGTGTTGACTGGTCAGTCGGAGGAGGTCGATATCATCGGACTGGATGGGCACATTTACAGAGGTCGCCTGAACCCCCCAGCCATCAGAACCACGGAAACTAAACTACCTACAATCTCTACCAAAGACGGTAAAGTTAATGTTTCTAAATGTCTCATGTGTTTGTTCCTGAATTATTAATTGATGTTTTAAAACCACAAATGTGACTGACCTCACCAGACTTTATTGCTCTATTAAGAATGGAAATATTCAACTTTATTTAACCAGGAAACATTTAGTTTAGTGCAATTAAAACTTTCTTTTGCAGCACCATGTAACACATAGAGGACCACACACACAGACAGTGAATTAGAAAATATATGAAGAGAATAATCAAGGTTCACAAAACACATAAAATAAAATGGATGAAATAAGGCTGATAAAATAAACTCCATACATATAGCATAACACGTAATATAAAAACAGATTAGCATACAATGGATGAATGAATCCTAAAACAGGTATTACTGATGGTCAAAATATATTTTAAACTACACTTACAACTACGTCAGAGAGCAAGAAAGTGGTTCCTGAAGTTGTTGTTGCTTCTAAATTCACATAAACACGTGACAGCAGCAGAGCTCTTATGTGTGAGCAGCTTCTACAGTCAGTTCTTCTTTTAAACATTTTACTCATGTAGCTGCAGGGAGCAGCAGTGTTGTTCTGTCAGCTCCCAGCAGCTTTAGTCCACATGTGTTGGTGCAGAAATTCTTTGAGCCTTGAACTGAGAACAAACGTCTGAAGGTCAATGTGAAATATGAAGAAGTGATTTCACACCTGTTGAGGCTCATAGTTGCTGTTGAACATGATTCATGACAACAAATGTCATCCAGTGTATTTTGGCTGACAGTTGGAAATGTCAAGGTAAGGTTCAGTTGTTGTTGTTTGTGCTGGTTGTCGTGAACCTTCCTCACATGTTGAACTGTTCATGTGCTACAGTGACGGCCGGCTTGTGCAAGATTAAAGACAAAGCCAAATGCCCCCCGTCATACAAACCCACGACTTCTCCAGAGGTGGGGCACAACGCTCCACTTCATCACCCCCACAGTCCTAAGACTGCCCAGTGCAGCCGCTCAGGTGAGTCACACACAGTCCTCTGCATGCCTCCCCAGGTTTCCTCTCACAGTCTAAAGACTTCCTGTTCAGGTCTAGTGTTGTGTCAGGAATCTGTGAGACCTGTCTGAACATGTCTGAACTGATCGGTGCAGATGTCACACTGAAGGCCTGTATTATCTTCACCGGTCTCTCTTCAGTTCACTGAGTTTAACCTTGATCATAATAACATATAATAATTATTATTATTATTGTGATGGTATCATTTTTAATGATAATTATAATTATTAAATCCAGTGAATTAATTTTCAAATTCAATTGAATTTATTTTTTAAATTATTATTTTAAATAATAATAATTATTATTATGGTAGAAAACCAAAACATCTTGGTTTTCACAGTGGAGCTCACAATACAACAGCACACAGAGTCAATCTGATATATAAAGACATTTAAAACTATTAATATAATTAATTAATTTATCTGAATTGTATCCAACCCCCACCGCACAGAAATGTCTCTTTTTCTTACAGTACGTTCTCTGGTTCTGGTCATTTAATTATCTGTTCCCTTACATCAGTAAAAGAACATGTCAACCCTCCTCTTCCTCCTCTTGCTCCTCCTCCTCTTCCTCTTCCTCTTCCTCTTCCTCTGTGTGTCCAGCCTCCAGCAGCTCGGGTCGGGACTGGCCGGTGTCGGCTCTGGGCTGCACGTCTCAGAGCTCCATCACTCAAGCTTCAGCTGCAGCAGACAGCAACACAGAGCCTCAGGACAACCAGCAGGCCGACCTGTAGGAGGCGACAGAGAGCTCTGCACTGTGTCTGATAAGTCATTAAAGCCGTTTCATGTTACTGATTCAATGCTGGTTAATGACATGTTTTTGTGCTACACCTCCCATAAATCACCTGTCAAATACTTTTATATATTTTTGAGTTCTGTGATCAGCTAGTTTGAATATTGTTGTTATTATTATCATTAATAACTAGTTATTATTATTATTAATAATAATAACAATAGTAATTAATAAACTTGAGTGTAAATTGAATCACTACCTGTTGCACCAGAGGATTTTTACAGTCAGCGACACACAACAGTGTTGAGACAGAAAACATAATAGAATTTATGAAAATGAATGGCTGTCCACCAGAGAACTTTTCCCACTCTAACAAAGAAATGTGCAGATTACACCTGTGACACATGTACAACCATAGAGCTATTATACCAAACACTGTACATAGTGTTTATAGTGTATACAGACACCCAGAGCCATGACACCCCCCCTATGTTGTTCCCTGTCAGCGTAGGCAGGTGGCCATCATGAGGGGAAACACATCACTACTACGAGCGGAAGTGTACATCCTGTTCACAGAAACATCAGGCAGAGAACAAGAAGGACTCGTTTGCGAGTAAAGATGAGAGCAGATGTTGTCACAAAGGAGGGAGGGGCGAGCTGAGTTTGAAGTGCGGTCAGAACTTGCTCCAAATCATTTCCTGTCTTTGAAGAATTTGGTTTTATGTGGAGCGACTTTTTTTTTCTGTGGTCGACGTATTTCAGACTTCACTCTTCTAATGTTTGACTCTGAAGACGTGAGACTGAAGCATGAATGTTTTCAGTGGTGGGAAGTAAATACATACTTTTACTCAAGAGCAGTTTACTGGAGCATTTCTATTTTATATCACTTTATTACTTCTACTCTACAGAGTTGGGATAAAAGCACTTTAAATATAAACAGACTCTATTATAGTGTGATTTCTTATATGTCTACTGTATAAATAGTGATTAATATTGTTTACAACATTGAACTGTTCTACATTAATATCTTCAGTTATTAGCACTGAAGATGTGTGCATGTTTATAGGCCCCATTTTCCCCAGCAGCTTAATACTTAATACCACATCGAGAAATCAAGAAGCTGGGTAACGACAATTTAAAATGTGCTGAACAAGGTTATATGATCAGATCATTGATCCTGAGTCATCAATCTGACAACAGCTGACATCTAAAATGTGATGAGCAAACACAAGAGAGTTGTTTTTTTTTTTTTTTTGTATGATGTCAAAAGACAAACTGGATGCGAACCATTGGTTTAATCTTTAACAATGTGTTATATATGTTTATCACATTTAGTAAAATATAATCTGCAATGTAACTAGAACTATATCTCTCAAATAAATGTAGTACAGTAACATTTTACTGTAGGTTTTCCCTGTTTGGTGTTTATAATCAGTACAGAATCATAACCTCTATAATTTGCACTGATTATAAACTATAATTTATAAGCAGATATCAGGTCATTTTAAGGTGTTTATTAATGTAATTTTATTGTGATTGAACTCTCTTTTTAATTACTGGATAGTTGATAGAATAAAACATTTATTAACAGATTTGTCAGAAATTCCAACTTCACCTTTTAAGATATATTTTATATTATCACAGCAGTTTCTTTTTTACTATATTATCAGTTTCTGTTTATTCAGCAGCCTCCACTGACGAGTATCCACAGGAGTTAAAAGTTGTTAACATGAATAAACACTTAGATCTGCTTATAAATACATTACAGTCTGTTATGAAGACTTTAAGTTAAATGTTAGCAAAGGTACAACACTGAAGTTGAGTACAAGTTTAATTAAGTGGAAAAAAAATGGAAATATCCAAGTATAAGTTCCTAAAAACTGTTACACAACTTGAGTAAATGTACTCAGTTATTTTCCACCACTGGCAGAAATAGTACTTTTATTGCTGATACTTAAATTACATGAAGCTGATGATGCTTGTTTGTCAGCCTCTGCTCTTCACTTCACCTTTTGTCCTACAACTATGCACTTCTCCTTAAAGTCGTCATGTCAGGAAGAGAGAAACTAACAGCAGCTCAGTTTGACACCACATCCTTCCTCAGTCTTCAGTCTCACTGATGCAAAGAAGAGTGAGTTCAGTTCAGGAAACCACAGGTTTCTCTTTTCTCAGAGTTCCGTTGGCTCTTACTGTAATAACCAAAACAAATGTGTTAAGACACCGTCAGCAGTGACACATGAAGCTGCAGACTGTAGCAGATCATACCTTGTTTTATTAAACATATAAATACAAATTTCAACAGAGGAAATGAACAAAGTACTTGAGAAAAATCTCTAGAAAAGAGCCATGGATTAGAACAGAGTGAATTTCTGAGGGTCCATGAGAAAAAAATACCGTCATCCAAGTGATAAGAGCAAAAAAAAAAAGAAAAATAAATCTTGAATGGGAGGTAAACTGTCTTTAAGAAATCATTGCCCAGGTTGTGAAACCTTCAGGGCAGCTGGGACATATCAGTTGTGTTTTTCTGTCTAAAACATGGTGAGAAACTCCATGACAAACAGTAATCAGCCTCCAACTCTGCATGGATTTCCATAACAGAGCTAAAGCAGTAATCCACGCTGCAGGAAGCTCAGAAAAAGACCCCCCCCCCCAGCCCAGTACAGCTCGTTTAATACACACAGCAGTGAATCTGCATTACAGCAGACAACACATCCTGTCACCAACAACAAATCACTCAGGAGTCAGGAGGATTTTATAAACTCCATGTTTTGCCTTGACTTGTGCACAAACCACTGAAGTTTGATTTAAAGGAAAAACCCGCCCTCAGGTCACAGAACACTGATGATCACAGGACCATAACAAAGCTAGGAAATGTTTGAACGTTTAACACAAATCACCTCTCAACATTTTTATAACCATTCTCAAAATTTTTTTTTTTTTTTACCACTCTAGACCTCCATTGTTTTTAGTGTGTGTTCATAGTTGTGTAATCCATCACAGTGAACATCATTATCAGATTTCATTTGAGCTTCAACGATCCATCAATGGACAGAGAACTAATCAGCTGTTTTAATAGTCACTTTTCAAACCAAACATTTGATGGTTCTAACTTTAAACTGAAGTGAAAAGAAGACATTTGACGATGATGAGCATTTTTCACAGTTTTCTATCGTTTTACAAACCACAGAATTAATAGGGGGATTAATCAATAATGTAGATAATCACCAGCTGCAGCCTGGGAGATGAGAGTTTAACTACATTAATGTTCACTGTGATTGATCACATGACTAAAGTCAGCTGATGCCAGTCCACAGCTTCCATGAACAACAGAAAAATAATCTAAAAATATAAAACCGTCCCATTTGTCTTCAGAAGTGCCAATAAAAATGTAACGTTTACATATTATTAAAGTTGCAAAAACACATGTATGGTCCTTTAAAGGAGGTCAGTGACCCAGAGGAGGAGCAAGAACGTCCTTTAGTAAACATGTCTGCCTCCTTTTGAAAGAAGCTGTGCTGCTCTTTGAGAAATTTACGCAGCTCAAACATGAATATGAAAAAGTCACAAAACTAAAATGAGTCCAGAAAAGTAATAAACATCAGACCTCTGGTTTTCTAACAGTGTTTCAGGGCAGATTTTTCCTTTGCGTCACAGATGATTTGATTCATTTTTGTTTCAGACATTAAAATATAATCTCATCATAGAGCAACGTCATGAAGGGAGAATAACAGCTGTGATATCGCTGCCTCAACCCCCCCCTTGAGAGAAACAGTGGTCACTTGGTGGTGTACTAAAAGTGAGCAGGTACAAACCCCCTGCTGGACAATAACAACAGAAAATCATAGAGAAACAGGAAAGAGTTGATTGTCTGTGTGAAGCTCAAGAACAAAACCTGTTTTTAAAAAAAAGATTTCTATCTTTGTGTCTGCGTCCCATCTCTCCCTGATGTCGACGATGACTCCTCCTCTATCTCTCGTGATCGTGAGGTGAAGGTGACGTTTTCCTTTTTCAAAACTAAAACTTGAGACTAATCTACAGGTGATTCTTTTTTTACGTTGTAGCATAAATGGGAACAAAAAAAGGAGTCTTGTTGAGGTTATTTTGTGGATCTGAACAATCATTCAGGATTCTGGACTGAATTGATATCAGGTCTGAGGAGACACAGATGCATCCAGCTCTGGTGTGAACAGTCGTCAGTTCAGTTTCTACTTGTTTAAACCCTCTGATCCTGTCTGTGAATACATTCAGAGCACATGTGGGGCCTCTCCCATTCAGACAGACAGAGGTAGGAGTGGTTGAGCGTCTGAAAGGTTGTGTGGAAAATCACTGAGTCGGCCTCTGAACCCCCCCCCCCCCCCCCACACACACACACACCACACACACACACACACACACACAAACACACACGGTGGAGGCACCGGCAGCTCGTTGCCCATCTACGTTAAAATATTTTCAAATCAGATTAATGTGTGTGTGTGAGTTCATCTGTGTGTCATCGTCAGCGTTACTGAAATCTTCTAGCTGAGGTTTTATTTACAACTGCCTCTCATTATCAAACTGAAGAGGAAATCAATTAACAAGGTTTCTGGCTGGAGCCTCCACACCAGCACTCAGGAGAATTAAAAACGAGCGTCCTGCTGAATCTGCAGCTAAAAAAAAAAAAAAAAAAAAAAAAAAAAAAAAAGTTCTGCTCATACAGTCTCTCTGAAATGATCCGAAACAAGAACATCAGAAACGTGGCAGCTCTCCGTTTCCAGATAATCTGATTATTGCAAACTGTGCCCTTCTACCAAAGTCATCAATCACTACTTTACATTACAACTCTTCTCATTCACCATGTTTTTCTTCGACTCAAACTAACCACATTTCATGTCTCATGTGTCCACGTTACATCTGAATCACAGAGAGCAGCTTTACCCAGAGGCTCATTTAAAGGTCCCATATAGTATAAAGTGAGATTTCCATGTGTTCTTTGATTATAAAGCAGGTCTTGGTTCTATATTAATACTTTGAAAGTATCAAAGTGCTTAGTCCACAGAGAAATGCACACAGCCTATATTCAGAAACTGAGCTTTAAAGTCAGCCGCCAAAAAAGACGCATCTTTTTTGTACAATACAACAAAAGTATTATTTGTGAAAATTTAAGATACTGAAATATAATGTGGATTGTGTATTTAAAATGTTAGTTAACAATAAATTATCATGTTTCTTTGGAGTAAAGAAAATGAAAAACGGTTTGAAAAGATCTCGTCAAATCCAAGATCAAAGATGTTAAGAAAAATTCAGGAGTCATGTTTTCCTTTATACTGTAAACCCCTTAAATATTCTGAATGTTATGAAAATCTGATTGGTTGTTCAGTTTTGAGGTTTTAAGCCTGAAAAAGATAATTAAATAATTAAAAAGATGTATTATTAAAACAGTATTGCACTACAGTTTCTCCTGTTTCATACTGAATGTTTGTAAATGATTCATGAATTTAACTGAAGACTTGAAGGTCTGAAAATCTGATTATTGATTGATTTCTTTATTTTTGGATTTTGTTTATATTATTTAAAAATGTATTAGCAGTGTTCTGCATCGTTAATTTACAGTGTCATGTAAACACCTTATAAAATGATGTTATAGTCATTGTAAGATCAAAATAGACCCTTGAACTGATGAAGTTTGTTTTTAAATTTGGTTTCATGCCATACAAATTAAGTTTAGTTTCCAGCATCTTTGTTTGAATATGTGACAAAACTGTTTTGTGTCGTGCAGCCGACAGAATATTTTTTTCATCCTTGTGGTTAGAGAATATCTTCAGAACAGCAAGTGTTTTTAAATGAGCTCCTGGGTTTTTTAGAGAATTAGATTTTTGACTCTGTGACTCAAAGGTAAAGTTCACACATGAGAGGCTCATACCGGAGCTGTCAGCCTCTTTCAACATCCACAGTTAAGTTTAAGTTTCACTGTAAGAAGCATCTTATGGCGGTAAATGAAACTGTGTGGCTGCAGTGTGAATACACACCCGTGATCTACAGAGGCCAGTTCCTCCACATCCTCCTGTGAACCTGTTTGTTTATCTGCTGGTTATTGCCGACGTCCTGCCTGATTATTTGTGAACCCTATGAAAGAAGAGTTTCTACAAAATAAGAATCACAAAGCACTTCAGCAGATCACATGGCTCCTATCCTCGGTAAGTGCTCTGACAGGTCCTGGGCTTGGTTGCATCGATGATGAAGAAAAAAAAATTTGGGGTTCAGAGTGTCCGGCTTGAAGTTTATCAGTGTTGTCAGTGACCTCCAGGTTCTTCCTCGGCTTGGATGATGACGTGATGAAGACGGAGAGGAAAAGCTGCTCGTCTTCAGTTTAGAAAAACAAGAGAAGAAAACAGCAGTGTCTTTGTCTTTTTCCATAAGGGCTCTTCCTCTCATTCCACACATAACCACCCCCCTCCCCCCTCCCACCCTCCTGCTCCCAAAACAGATTCATTTGGCTACATGTGAACCAGCCGCCCAGGCCTCCCTCCCTGCCCCTCGCAGCCCAGTGCACAGTCTCATCTCTGGCCGTGGAGCGCCGATACAACGGGGGGCTGCTGGGAGCCGCTGGGCTGAGAGACGGGGGGCCACATGGGAGTCTGTTGCATGTGGTAGTGATGGTGGTGCATGTGGTGGCCGGTGGGCGACGACGGGGGCAGCCAGGCCGGCTGGTGGCTGGGCGGCGAAGAAGCCCAGAAGGAGCCGAAACCTGACGTGGAGGAAGGGACAGGGGGCGAACAGGCCATGGACACCTGGGAGGGTCCGTTGCCGGCGCCGGAGCCGCACTCAGTCGCCCGCAGTTTGGAGAACATGGTGATGGCGTCGGGGAAGTTCGGTGGCGTGGCGGGAGTGTTTCTGGGAGTACACATCTGTGAGGAGGAAGCAAGAGGAGGGAAACCATCAGTTCGTCGTTGTCGTGACGATAAGGTAGCAACCATACTTACATTTATGTTCTGACAACAAGTTTAAATTGATTCAAGTTGTTTTTGTGACAGCTCTACAAACTACAATACCCATGAGCCTCAGCCACTGTTGCTAAGAAGAAGCCAGTCAGAGAAATACAAAACACAAAAGTAAGTGACTGAAGCTGCTCCGTAACTTAAAATGCATCTTGATGTTTCTTACAGAAATGCACATTGGGAGTTGTAGTTGACTTCTCTCCACAGGCTTTTGACTTTCCTAAAATCATATGTTTTCTGCTGCTGATTGAACCAGGAGAGTTTAATGTTGATGTTATTATAGAGGAGCTCCACCTGTGAGCCACTAACACTAACACTGTGTGGGGAAAATGAATCAGACTTTTACTTTGGTTACCCGGGCGCCTGATAAAGACAATAAGCTGTGAACTTTCCGGTTGAGAAATCCTGTGAAGTACCAGGTTTAAATTTCAACACATGCTGAGGATCAGTCCAGACACATCCACTTTACCTAAGTTTGTTTTCTCAAAAGGAAACATGGTTCCAAACATGTTTATAGTCCCTAAAGTCAGGTATCATACAGACACAGACCAAAACCCTTTATTTATTTATTGTTTGTTTGTTTGTTTAAGCAGATAAAATGCATCCTGAGCTGTGGTGCTGCAGATACACAGGTTAACAGTGTTTCCCACCTCAGGGGAGGGATTTACTGTAACTGTACACTACTATAAAAACAGCCACAGGCACGTATCAGTGCACTGATCTTACAGACTACATGTACAGTATGTACAGTAACCTGGAGACTTCTACTCCCTTTAGTCTTAAAGGCATTGCCTCCTGGGGAGAGGTGCTGCCTGAAGGACAAACTCAGGGAACAGATGAATCACAGTTCCACAGCTCACAACTACAACTATGAAGGAACAAGTAAAAATTGTCTGACATGAAACTGGAAAGACAATGAGATGATCATAACCTGAGATAGTGATGTTAGTAGCTCAAAGTGCTTTACTTTCTTACTACCAAGACACCACTACACCAGTGGATTCAGCCTTTAGAACAAGCAGCATGTGTATGTTTTTAATAGGAGAGTAAAGCCACATTTCTCCTTCAGCTTCAGTTTCTGACTGTGGTCATGTGACCTGCTGCTAAAGGCCAAAAGTCCTTAGGGAGAACATCAAATTAAGTGTCATCTGAAAAGTGGTGTGGTGCTGGTAGCCAAAGCAAAGGGAAACACACACAGACACAGACACAGAGATCAGGTAACAGACAGAAATAGAAGAGGAGACCTCTCAGCTGTGCAGCAGAAGGCCAGAGAGAAGGGGCTTGGTGTATTTAGAGCAGCAGGCTACAAAGAAATGTCACTTCCAGGCTAACACACACACACACACACACACACACACACACACACACACAACACACACACACACACACACACACACACACACACACACACACACACACACACACACACACACACACACACACACACACACACACACACAAAGATGTTTCTGAACAGACCAAAACAACTCTAATTCAAGCACACATCTCAACTGTTGTGACAACATCAGCTCTGTTTGCACAGACACTGTGGTGTTGTATTCAAGTTTTAGTGCAATTTCCCTGAATTCTGTCTCAGTAAATTGTTTGTAATATATATTCATATTTAAGTCCTATTTGGTTTACATGTTTTATTTAAATATATTTATGTTACTTATCTTCATCATCAAAAATCATTTATTTAGGAGTATATAAAACAGAAAAGTAGAAGAAAATGAGGGAACTAAAAAATATGACAGCAAAAGGCGGCCATATTTGTTTAAAAAACAAAGGATTCTTGAAAAAAATCTAATCAATGTGGTAACTGGTAAACACACACACACACTGCTCTGACACATCAACACAAACATCTGACTCATTGTGCTGAGGATAAAACATAAACATGTGTCTCTGGGTCTGTTCCTGCTCGGGCTCCGCAGGGAGTGTTGGTGTTCAGGTTGGATCTGTATGTACATTATGAACAATAACACCTCTCATGGCTGTGACGCCACAGGGGAGGAATGACGAGTACCACACACACACACACACACACACACACACACACACACACACACAATACAGTATACAGTATTATTCTCTTCAACACACATGACCCTCATTAATTAATACCCAACATGCCACAGAACCGGTTCTCTGTCAGACTGATGACCTTGAGTGGAAAGATGAGGGGCCGGTTGCACAAAACAAGTTTTCTACTAAAGGTTTCATTCCTCCTTAGCTGAGGGAGTTACTTTTTGGGTGTTGCACAGAATCTCTTAAAAGGTTTCCTTAGTTAAGGAAATAAGGTAATTTGCAGCATTTAAAAAGATTTTACAGCTGTAAAATTCTACTGTTTCCATGGAGACCGTTTGCTGGAATTAGTTTATACCTGTTACAGAGGAAGCCTTTACTTTAACTTCGAAAACCTTAAGGAAAAGACTTCAAGATTTTTTTATTTTAAGGAAAATCTTAACTTAATGTGTTTTGTGCAACTGGTCCCCGGTTCATATTGAAAACTTCTGTTTTCTTAAACTTTGACTCATGAGTCACAACGTTCTCCATGAACAGTAAAACAGAAGCTTTGAATGAAGAAGCTAAAGGTTTGATAAACCGACTCCTCACAGATGTAAAATCAGGTCCACAGTCACATCCACCACGAGCCCTCCCTCAAGCTCTGAATCAGCCAATAGCAGGCCTCAAAAGGTGATGCATCACAGCTGCGTCACATCGGTCGTCACAGCTTCGTGCACACTGTGTTGTGATTAAGACCAACATCAGACTAACATGTGACAGAGAGCAGCATCAGATTTTCACATTGTGAAGATGGAAGCAGCAAATATTTGATATTTCTGCTTGAGATGGTTCTTTACTAAAACAGTGGCAGATTCATGTTCTGTCGACCTGCTAATGGATTAATGGACTAATTGTTTCAGCTCCAATCCGGAGCAGGAATAATTCAATCAAACCCTCCAGGCTCAGTGGTTTTATTTGTCTAAGCGTTAATATTTCATTCTTCATGTTACATGTTTAGTAACTCATGAACAGGTCAGCTTTAAACCAGACTTCACAGTACCTCAAATTAATCCTGGTTCAGTTTGAGTTCATTCAAGACAGACTTTTCACAATGAGAGCAGTTTTTCTGGGCTTCTTGTCTGTGGCTATGAAAGCAGCAGTGACAGACCTGTTGTCAGCACAGAGAGTTAATCTTTGATGAGGGGTTCATTATTGCTTCAACACTGGGCTCTTTCTCCTCAAAGCTGACCCAACATGGCTCCGTGTTGGCCCCCTCAGGGCCAGAGGAGAAGGTCTATGCTGGAAATGGAAACAGCTGCCACTTGCTTCACTCTGTCTCTGCAGCCTTGTACAACCCTGTACTCCTCAGAGCCTCAGGCGAGATGATGTCATTGCACTGCACCCAAAATAATAACAAACCCAGGCCGCCGCCTCTCACACACTTCCTCACTCCCTCGAGCTACAACACACTCCTCCCAGAGCAACAGAGAGGCACGTACACCAAAACAAGAGCAGAGGGAGGAAGAGGGGGGCATGGGGGGGGGGAGAAAAGCTTCAGACTGAAAGCAAAACACGGCTGCTGCAGATGTTGGCGTGTTGTTCCTGCACGATCGGGATCAGACAAATCCCAGGACGCCATGCGGAGAATATTGAGACACATGATGGTGAAGAAACCGTCATGTGCGATTACATAAGAACCACTGGGCCGAGGGCACAGACATGTCTCTGACACTGACGCACGTCTGCACGGCCTCACAATAATTATTTCATTTATTTAAACTGAGCTTTGTCAAGTGAAACCTCTTGATGACACGCTAATTACTATGTTACAGGGCTGCAGTTATTTTGACTGCACACACACCCTTCCTTATGACAGAGGGACTTTCTTAATCTAACTGTAATCACATCCAGACACGCCCTGCGATGTGGCTTCAATCCAAATGAAGGGAGAAGTGTGAACACAGTTTCCTGTCCCAAAAGCTCAATGAGCAAAGATCAGACTTAAGTTTAGCTTCGGAAGATGAAAAGTTTCAGATGTCAGTGTTTGTCTGAAGGAGCCTGATAATCAGATTAAAGGGTGTAAAGTATCTTACTTTTGTTGTGTGTTTCACCGAGTTAAATCCAACTCTTCTGTGAAAACCCAACAATGAGCTCACAGGAGCTGATGAATGAGGGTTTATCTGCAAACAGATAAAACATCTCATGTTCTGTTCCTACTGACATGTCACTAACTACACACTGTTACATGTTCCTGCACGATGTTATATCACATGGAACACGTTAACACAAATGTCACAGACAAAATGTTTCAGAGGTTTTACAGACTTTTCTGCACCACATTTTTCATACATATATCCACCTTTGTTCTAGCAATGAAAAATTTAAACATATCCTAGTACGGTAAGGACTAATAAGGACTAATTTAACGATTATTGTTTATTCTTAATTTTAAATATTACTACTAATGAGCTGCTGGACACCAGGAATTTCCCCTAGAGGATAAATAAAGTGTCTATCTATCTATATATCTATCTAGTTACGTTACAATCCATTCACACATTGGCAACAAAAGCACAATTTAATGTAGATGTAAACTGCTTCACATTCTTACAGGACCTTTAACAAGTTAAGTTTTCTTTTGACATCAGTGCTCAGAATTTCCAGATATCTCGGTTTGACTACCTGGAGACGGACGTGGGTGGTTTTTTATGATGGTAACGGCCACATCTAGAGCAGCCTGTCTTTTACAACCAATCAGGACGACAAAGTCCTACTTTGTATTCTTAAATACTATATTCCAACATATTCTTTGGATTTTTAATAATCAGTTCAGCACCAGCATGAGCAAAAAACCTAAACACTACCCATCCCTGTTCATCCCTAAAAGCTGGACTCTGACTGCTGGGAGTCCGGCTGGTGTGTGAAGCCCAGCTGGTTGTCTGAGACTCTCCAGTTCAGTCCAGCAGGTCAGTGGGTGCATCCATCCCACCGTCCAGAACGAGAGGATCAGCCTCCACTCAGCCACACATGCCTCAGTCTCATTTCTGTCTGTTGAGGGAAACCAAATGCACTTACCATCTGGTGGTGGTGACTGGGGATGTTCGCCTCCTGGAAAAAGGAGCTTAAGGCCGTCTGCAGAAAGAGAGAGAGAGAGAGAGAGAGAGAGAGAGAGAGAGAGAGAGAGAGAGAGAGAGAGGGAGGAAGAGAGAGGAGATTGTGTTATGAGCCTTTTAACTTTGATTTATTGGAATTAAAACCCGACAACATACAGGAGTGAGGAAGTCAAACGTTTGCCTTATTTTCCTGCGACCACACAGAGGAGGACCCCCCCCCCTACACACAGCACATCCTACGGGTCAGTTAACACGACTGGTCACGTGAGCTCAGGGTTAAAACTATTATCTCCATGCTGGGATATAAAACAGGGTTTGTCAACCTCAGACAGGCTTTTTCAGCTCAGCTACAGGCTGAATAACTGACTGATGTTTAACTGAATTTTACACCAAGAAAAGAGTCTGTCTATAAACAGCAAATACAAACACTCATTTTGCTATAATGATAAAACTGAAAAAAGCTCCAATTCTCATGTACAACAAAGTAGAGCTGAAACAATGAGTCGGTTCATCTTGGACTACAGTTTAGGATTATTTTCTATATATATTATTATTAATCATTTGTGAGACCACTTAAATCACACTGTGGTCAGATTCTCAGAAATGTTTTCTTCTGTTCAGACGAAGCAGCAGAAGCAGCAGCTCCTGCTGTGTTTAGGCTGCGCTGTTATCGGCCTGCTGTTTCTCACAGGTCATCAAGTGTGTTTTTGTTCACGCTGCCGTTGGCTGTGTTCACAACAAAGAGGAACAATACAAGGAGCCAACTCATTTCCTTGTTTGCGCAGGGAGGCAGTCATGAGACCTGCTGTTTACATTTTTATAGCGTTTCTGATTTTCTGCCTCCTCCACCTCCAGCTGGAGACTTTGTGTTGTACAGCTGTGGCTAATGATTGTTTTCATTATTAATGAATCTGCTTGTTGTTTTTGCAATTATTCAGTCTTTCCTCTAGTCTATTAAATGTCATAGAATAGTAAAAGAAGTACACCGTAAATTCTCATTTAATCAGACAAAAGCCCAGAAAAAATTAATGACTTTTTGTGATCACAGTAGCTCAAATTAACCCTGGATCAGTTTGAGTTTGGGCTCAAGCAAGCCAGACTTGATCACAATAAAAGCAGTTTTTCTAGGCTTCCTGTCAGTGGCTAAGAAAGCAGCAGTGACAGACTTGTTGTCAGCACAGAGAGTTAATCTTTGATGAGGGGCTCATTACTGCTTCAACACTGGACTCTTTAAACATAACAACTGTAACTGACAATTATTTTTTTCTAAAGGATTATTTTTTTGATTAATCGTTTGATCCATCAAATGTCAAAAAAAGTAAAAAATTAACATAAGACAACAGTTTAAAATCCAAAGATATTATGTGTCATGAAAACAGAAAAGCAGCAGATCCTCACGCTGATGGAGCTGGACCTCAAGAATGTTTTCTGAACAAATTTGATTTGATTATTTTTCTGTCAATTCAGTTTTACATATAAACACCTGCATATTATACAGGGTTTTTCTTCAGTCCTTAGTGTTTTCTTTTCTTTTATTACCTCGTCCCTCTGCTGAGTTACTGTACACACAAGTTGCTGTTCACTTAANCTAGAGCAGCCTGTCTTTTACAACCAATCAGGACGACAAAGTCCTACTTTGTATTCTTAAATACTATATTCCAACATATTCTTTGGATTTTTAATAATCAGTTCAGCACCAGCATGAGCAAAAAACCTAAACACTACCCATCCCTGTTCATCCCTAAAAGCTGGACTCTGACTGCTGGGAGTCCGGCTGGTGTGTGAAGCCCAGCTGGTTGTCTGAGACTCTCCAGTTCAGTCCAGCAGGTCAGTGGGGGCATCCATCCCACCGTCCAGAACGAGAGGATCAGCCTCCACTCAGCCACACATGCCTCAGTCTCATTTCTGTCTGTTGAGGGAAACCAAATGCACTTACCATCTGGTGGTGGTGACTGGGGATGTTCGCCTCCTGGAAAAAGGAGCTTAAGGCCGTCTGCAGAAAGAGAGAGAGAGAGAGAGAGAGAGAGAG